TAGTAATATTATTTAAATGAAACACTTTGTTTGTTAAGGATATGTAATTTGGCTGACAACTAACTGCACTCACGGTCAAAGGAATTTACAAGGGTTGGAAGGGTAGCCCGCCTAAAGCCATTTGGAACTGCACTCACGGTCAAAAATCGGTCTTTCACGGCTGAACGCTTCGCTAGCCCCTTAGTCATCTGTTTATTCCGTCCTCTGTCTTACTTTATCCAATACTTATATTTAATACACGTTTTAGTGTCTGTCCCAATAAATACAACAATAACTAACCTAACCTAACCTAACCTAACCTTTACAAAAGAAGCTTCGTTATAATAAGAATATAGCCTATCATGTTATCGTAAATACTATGCTAGAATTTTCTGTGCACATATATATGTGTATTTTTTACAATGTCAGTAGTAAGTTTATTTTTTGACGTTTAGATTAATTTAATCAAAACTTTTCAATATATTTCAACTAATTTAATAAGTTTTAATCAATTCAATCATGGTGTTGCACAATGTGATATAGGCTAATTAAAAACTGACCGTGAGTGCAGTTCCAGTACCTCCAGAAAGGCTCAAAGTGACCGTGAGTGCAGTTCCGTAGTTGGATTAGGACCAGGGACTGACCGTGAGTGCAGTTCCAGCCCTCCCGTCTGCTGTGTCTTTTAAATCGAAATTTGGTGGGGTTTGGTGGTCAGATGATAAAAGTGTTGTGTATAAACCTAAGAAGTAGAGTTTAAGTGGAAAAAACAATGATAGCAGATCTTGACAAGAAATAAGGAAAACCAAAGTGTAATATGGAAAAGGACTGACCAAGGGACACAAGTACGTTGTTGTCAAGAACAGGGGTTTCTCAATGAGCTGCAGACAAGCCAAATTTTCCTGGCTTTTGTAGCAAGTTGTTTATAATAAATTGTTGTAAGATTGTATGATTTTTAAAGAAATAAAATTAATCTCTTAAACCGGTGACAAGTTGAAGGGGAGATACAACTAGCCGCAGGTACAACTATACGTAGGTACAAGTAGGCGTAGGTACAACTAGTCGTAGGTACAAGTAGTCGTAGGTACAAGTAGTCGTAGGTACAAGTAGTCGTAGGTACAAGTAGTCGTAGGTACAAGTAGACGCAGACGTATGAGGTACAAGTAGACGGTGACGTTCCCGACTAGTTGTACCTGTAGATTTTTAAGAGGTACAACTAGACGTAGAGACAACTAGACGTAGAGACAACTAGACGTCCGCACCATCGTCAAGTTGTCTCTACAGCTTTGGACGGGGTACAACTAGACGCCTGTCACCAAAATGCAGCAGGTACAACTAGACGCCGGTACAAGTAGACATCGCCCCCTAGGTGCTCGTTTTGCCTAATGTTATTTAGGTAGGGAATGTATCTGACATAATTGAGGATATTGAAGTTAAAATCCAATAAGGTTAATGGCAACTCGCGTAGTCTGCAGGTTTGCTGTGGATGCCGGCGGGGGTATTTTAATGATTTTCTTTGTCTGAAAAATGAGCCTCACGCTTCAGGTAATGTATTAAGGTTCCTAAAATGGCTATTTGTGTATTATGAGCGCAAAGTACGTCATTGCGCTCTAGAAGAGGCCGCCAACCTCTTAAACAAAAAAAACAAAAACTAGATGGCCCTACATTTCGAGAGTGGCAATGACTGTTTGTGCTCGTAATAACACAAGGTTTTTCCAACCCCCATAATTAAGTAAGGATCACAAACAGATTAAGTCTTAGTTGTATACAAAATGTCATTTAGGTTATGTTTGCTTTTTATGGCTAAGTTATTTGCTTACCGGTTGGTAACGTACCTGATCCGCGGCTGTGGTTGGTGGAGAAACGCCAACAGTGAAATCGAAATCAGCTGATTAGCGTACAGTAAAATGAGCTATTTTGCGTACTGTTTATAGGTGTGGCAATGTGATCATTTCAATGCAGTGGTAGGGAAAAGATATTTTAGTGCATGAATCGCAAGGTTAAATAGTTTATTAAAGCGAATCCTCCAAATGGGTACACCTACACCGGAAAGAATCAACTGAACACTGGTAGTTACTGCCTTTACAATGATGTACAATATAAAAATATTGCTAAAACACAATACAAAATAAATAGGTCTAACCTCGCCACAGCAAACCTGCAGACGAATTTCAGTTTGCCTAATTGGACATATTTATTTCGCATTTATGCAACATTTTTTGTCCTTGGACGCTAGGAACGAGCCCGGGATTTTTTCACATTACTTCAGGCTAGACCTAGGGGTTGCGGCATTATCACTTAGATAAAATCCATTGGTGATTTTGCGGGATTTGAACCAGAAACCGAAGTCCTGCGCTCTAAACCACTACACCAGCTTACTCCCCATTTATATAACATTAAATTTAACGAGTACTTAGGTTTGCTGCTATAAGGAAGGTAAAATATGTGTTTTTCGGCCAAATATTAATAGTATATGGTAAAATAAATAAATTCGACAAATTTGATCAACATATACAGGGCTTTCATAAAATAATGGTGGGGTTTAGTTATGAAGTAAAAAGAAAACGAGAAATGATTAAAAAAAACTATCTATTTTGTTGAATTACTGTAACGTTATTACATTTAAATAGAATAAAATATATGAATGAAGAATCTTTTATTGTCAAACAGTTTTTAACAAAAGTAACAAGTAAACAAATATTGTTTTTATGAAAACATCTGATTGAATTAAATTAAAGAACAGTATTTCAGCATACATAACATTTCCCCCTTCCTTCTTTAAAAGCCTGGAGGACTAATATTCATCATGGTAATACATTGGCCGTCTCATATTCCTACTTGATTTTCTCTGGTTTGTAGTACCAGATGAAGGTGAAGTTAGTTTTTGTGAAGTTTGTTGTTGAATAGATTGCTGTGCAGGCTGTATTTGTTGACGTGTTCTTAAATGGTCGGCATGCTGCCTGTATTCTTTGTCATCAATGTTCACTCTGTATGACAATGGTGCTGTTTTCCTTAGCACTACCCCTTCTCTCCAATTTTCATTTGGATTCCGTTTCACCCAAACTGTATCACCTGCACTAAAGTCTTTACGTTTAGAGTGGATATCATGATAAAACTTTTGGCGTTCTGACGACTGTTTCATATTTTCCTTCACGTCCGGTCTTAGGGTGTCAATCAAAGTTCTTGGGTTTCTTTTCAGGAAAAGTTCAGCTGGTGTCCGTCCAGTCGATGAATGTGGAGTTGTTCTGTATGAGAATAAGAGTGTATGGAGTCTTTGTTCGTGATCATTTATGTCAGTCATGAGATACTTGTTTTGAAATGTCTGAATTACTCGTTCAACACAACCATTGGAACGACTGTGGTAGGGAGTGGTTCTGATGTGAATCACGTTATTCTTGCGGCAAAACTCTCTAAATTCTTCTGAGACAAACTGATTTCCATTGTCAGTAACAATTTGTTTCACAAGTCCATATCTACAGAAAAGTTCACGAAGTCTTCTTATCACAGTGTTGCTTGTAGCGTTTTTCATTGGAAATATTTCCAACCATCGAGAATATGCGTCTATTACCACTAACCACATGTATCCATCAAAAGGTCCTTTGAAATCAATATGTAATCTTTCCCAAGCATTTTCCGGTATATTCCATGAATTGAGTGGCGTTTCGATATCATTCTTCCTGAATGTTTGGCATCTTGTACAAGTTTTCACTAAGTTTTCAATGTCATCGTCTATTTTTGGCCAGTAAACAAACAACTTCGCCAAAGAGCGCATGGCAACTATTCCTGGGTGTGAAACGTGGAGGTAACTAAGAATGTCTCCCCTAAGTGACTTAGGAATTACTATTCTTTCTTGCCACAATAAAATCCCCTCTTCATAAGATAGTTCATGTCTCTTGTCATAGAATATCTTCAAATTGTCCGGAATTGAACTTCGATCGGGCCATCCCCTGACACAATAGGATATAATGTGTTTCAGTTCATCATCTCTGTGAGTGTTATCTTGAAGCGTTCGTTTGGTAAGTGGCAAATCTTCAATTCTCATAGATCTAACTTGGTTTACTTCACCAAGCGTCTGATACGTATCAATGTTTGTTCCTCCTTCTAAAGGTAATCTACTTAGACAATCTGCCAGAACATTATCTTTTCCAGCCCTGTAGTTTATATCGTAGTCGTATCCACTGAGTATAATAGCCCATCTTGCAAGTCTGGAAGCGGCATGTTTAGGTATAGGCTGCTTTGCCCCAAAGATTCGTTCGAGTGGTTTATGATCACACAAAAGAGTGAAATGCCTACCATAGAGATATTTGTAGAATTTTTCAACACCAAAGATAATGGCCAATGCCTCCTTATCTATAGAAGAATAGTTCTGTTCTGCTGAATTTAATGTCCTTGAAGCGGCTGCAATTGGTTTCTGACTGCCATCAGGACATCGATGAAGGAGAACTGCTCCTAATCCAATATTGCAAGCATCTGTTGCAAGGATAAGTGGAAGTTTAGGATCATAATGTACAAGCACCATATTGTTTGAGATGTTGCTCTTAATATGGTTGAATGCGTCCTCACAGTCACTATTCCAGTCCCAAGTTGAGTTCTTGTGCAAAAGTCTATGTAAAGGAAAACAAAGAGATTGCAAATTTGGAATAAATCTTGAATAGTAATTCACAGATCCAAGAAATGATCTAAGCTCAGAAACGTTCTTTGGTGGGGGTTGTTTCTTGATAGCTTCTACACGATCTTGAACAGGTTGAATACCAAGAGCACTAATTTTGTGCCCAAGATAGGTCACACTTTGTTTGAAAAGCTGTAGTTTATCTTCACGCGTGCATAGTCCTGCTCTCCTCAATATATTTAAAACTGTTTTGAGCCTATCAATGTGTTCTGGTCCACTTCTACCACCCACACATATGTCGTCAAAATACCACGCACAATCATCGGTACCAACTAATAATTGGTCCATCAGCTTTTGAAAAATCTTAGGTGCGGTCTTAATACCAAAAGGTAATCTATTGAAGGTAAAATATCCTTTATGTGTCGCTACCACTAGATATTTTTTTTGATTCTTCGTCCACTGGAATCTGTAGATACGCATCCTTCAAATCAATAACTGAAAAGAATTTTGAACCATTCAACTTAAGTACTGTTTCTTCAAACGTAGGGATGCAGTATTCGTCATCGATTAAATGAGGGTTGATTGATACCTTGAAATCTGCACATAATCGTACCTCACCATTAGACTTTGGTACAACAACTAAAGGAGAAGCACAAAGGATCTGAGTAGTAGCCGGATCCACAGGTTCTAAGAACCCTGAGGACACTAAACGATCTAGTTCCTTGCTAGTTGCACTGTGTAATGCGAACGGAACAGGTCTCGGTTTGTGTATTGGCAATTGTACATCATTAGCTACTCTAACCTTAGCTTTGAAATTTTTCACTGTTCCTAGGTTATTGGTAATTATGTCTTTGAACTCTTTATATATCTTACGTTTCTCCCCCTCTTTGTCTATAATGTCCGTGTTAATATGATTGACGCTATAAGAATTTTGCTTACATACATGTTCACAGTTAGGATCTAGATTAAATGCTACAATCCAATCTTTACCAAGCAAAGGTGTCCCTGAAACACTGTCAGTGACAGCAACACTTAATTGCAAAGTAGTTGATCCTAACAAAACAGCGACCTTAGCCTCGCCGAGCATAGGTATTCTAAATGACGGATAAGCACCCAGCTCCTCCGTATGAGTCAGTGCCGGTTCACCAATTTGTTTCCACGTAGATTTACTTATTATAGTTCTTGCAGCAGCAGTGTCATATTCCATCGTTATTGGAACCCTATTTATTGTTAAATTAACAACGTAACAAAATTTCTCTACATTATTAATTTGACTTATGTTTTTAACCAAGTCGGGAGGCTCAGCTCCTAGTTCATCAGATATGTCAGGACATCCGTCATTAAAATGACGGGAAAAGTTTACATTGTCACTGTCACTATAATCACTCATACCAGCAAACTTACCAATCTGTTTGACATAACGTCTTGAAAGATTTTTCTCGATTACCACATTATTGGATTTCAGACAAACTCGTTCAAAATGCCCCATTTTCCCACAAGCTCTACATTGAATATTCATTGCCTTGCAATACTCACCTGTTTTATGTTTTGCAAAACCACACCTCAAACACTGTGACTCAGGATTCAAGCTGATTCTAGTACTGTCCCTTTTGTGTAACGGTTTAGTAGTTCGTGTAGCCCCTACCTTATTTACCTGTGCATCACATGAAAATGTCCCAAGTGTTTCTATTTGTTGTTGTTGAGAATGTGCCATTTCCATTAGGTAGGCGTCTTTAACGATGTCGACAAGTTTTGCTTTTTCCTCAGGATGTTTTCTGATGAGCTCTTCTTGCATTTTAGGATCATTTAAACCCAATAAGAACTGGTCTCGCAGTCTTTCGTCAAGTGTATCTTTAAACTCACATTCCGTCGCACCAGCTCTCAAATTGTTTACAAATATGCGTATTGATTGATCTTTGTTCTTCATGATTTTTCCAAATTTTAGTCTTTCGGCCAAATAGGATGTTTTTGGTTTATAGAAATTTGAAATAAACTCAACAATTTCCTCGTAATCTACTGTTAAAATAGGTGTTGGATAAAAGTTATCAACCACAATTCTATAATGTTCAGAACCAATCCATTTCAGAAGTAAAATTCTCTTAGCTTCTTGATTGTGTTGTAACCCACAAATAATTATTTCCAACTCAAACCTTTGGTAGTAGTACTTCCATGTTTCTTTGGTAGCATCAAACTTCTCGAACTTGAAATGAGTTAAACTATGTGTAGTAGGTTGTTCCACTGTTAATGTAGATGATGTGTCGTCATTGTCATATTCCTCATGTCCGTGCAGCGCCATTATGTAACGTTATTACATTTAAATAGAATAAAATATATGAATGAAGAATCTTTTATTGTCAAACATTTTTTAACAAAAGTAACAAGTAAACAAATATTGTTTTTATGAAAACATCTGATTGAATTAAATTAAAGAACAGTATTTCAGCATACATAACAATTACTTACATCAAAAAGATCGTATACACAGCTAATAGGCTTCAACATTACAACCATTTCTTGCTCTACAAACGACCAGACGATGATCTATTTCAGCCCACAAGTGCAACGGAGACAATAGAGACTGCATTTCTGGTTTATCTAGTAAATGGGCTAAATTTTGAGTTTTTTTTTAGAATAAACTATGTTTTTGACATCCTAAATGGCCGTTATACTAGAGTCACTGCCTTTAGTTCACTTTTAGCCTTTTCTTGACGGAAAACATGTTTATAAGAAAATACAACTTGAAGTTTATTTAACAGAATAAGTAGGTTGTCGATTAGCACAAAAATCAACACAGCTGTTTCAATTAATGTAAACAAAACTGTTTGAGCTACCGGATGCAGGGGTATCAATATGAAATATTTAATTTGTCTTTGTAATCATGTTAATATCTTGTACTCGAGGTGTTTTACAGACAGTTAAAACCTCACCTTATGGAAACTCTGTATATTCATAAACAACAAACTACAACAGTTCACTTATTCACGTATTTCCATAAAAATAACATAGGAATTTTAAATTTGAATTTTTTTTATTTTCTCCTTAACAAGACACATTTTATATAAAAACAAGTTAGATTTCAATCATACATTTGGAAAACATTATAAAGGAAGATATTTATGAGTCTGCCTTTGCCAAGAATTCTATTACGAAATTCTGTTACTTTTATCATTTTTATCAACCTAGCCAATAAAACTGGGACAAAAGTGTTAATTTGTGTTTTTACTAAGTTTTGTAACTTAAGCTAGAGCTTAACATTTGTTCACATTAATTATTTACTGCAATATAAGTTATTAGTGAACAAACTGTGTGTATTAATATTTTGCTGTTCTCCGAATAGAGATATTTAATTTATTGTAATACCCAACCTATGCTCTTATTCAAAATTTTCTTCTGACTAATTGTAAATAAAATTAAAATTTAATTTTGTACTGTCCATCCACAGGACGACAGAAAAATATTTTCTTCAAATTCATAATTTTAAATGACCGCCCTTTTTGGGTAGTACCATTGACTATTAATGTACAATTTTCTTCTAACTCGGTGGATCGCCCCAGTATTTATATTTCCTCTAAAAAGTCAACTTTTAGTTATAGTACTTATATGTTATCGGGAAAACTTTGGTGCATTATCGGCATATATGTTAAAAAAATCCCGAACTTTTTGAGGACCCTGTACATTTACCATTATTTACGTATACAGTAAGTAGAAAAACATTTTTTAAGCAAGAGTTATTTTTATATTGGTCATACACTGAGAGTCTGATTAAAAAATTGTGTATGAACAAGTAAAAAAGCAAAACCCATAAAACATGTCTGGTCCAAAGTAACTTCTCAGCTAAGTGCTTTGAAGTATCAAACAAATGGTCGAAACAGTTGCATGGCCCCGTTGTGTGATCCAGTTGGCAACAACATGCACATAAATATCCTCTTTCTGTTGCACTTTTGTCGTTATGCTCTTCTTTTCAACTGAGTACATTCTGTTTTTATTTATTTTTAGGTACAGAGACATTTTTGTTTTATTTGCAAGCAGGTACTTGCATTGTATTGCAACTGAGTAAAAAAAATATGAATAAAAATACTATTTAAATTGCCACGTTGTTAAACACACTAAAAAGTATAAAATAGTTTTTAAATATGTTAAGAGAATAAGTAGTTGTACGATTGAAGTGGGGCGCTTGCAATAGCTCATTTACAATTACCTTCATCTATTGAACTATTATTATCTATTGCAAGCACCGCACGTTTTTCGTTTTAAATCTTACAAGTATTTATTCTCTCCGCATATTTATAAATTATTTTCTACTTTTTAGTGCGTTTAAAAATGTTGTATTTTTAAAAATATTTTTAGTTATGAATTATTTTCTACTTTTTAGTCTTTAATGTGTGAATATGTTAAATCTTTAAATCTATTTTATATGGCCTGTTAATACACAACCAAAACCTTATTATCTGTAATCAGATGATTTATCTTTACTTATGTTTGTTTCATATTAAGAATCTCTCCGGTTCAGAATCTGTACCTCTTAACCTCTGCTCTTCAAACTGTCATATTTAAGTATTTACAGCTGACTTCAATAATTATACTTACATTCTTCCAAAATGTAAACATTGAAACTTTGGAAGTCCATGGTGCGTATCCCACGGGAAATATGAAAATAAAATGATTTACATTGTCATCCATTTGTGAGCTATGTTCCAAGTTTCAAGTCTCTAGCTCATCGGGAAGTTAGTTTAATATCAATTGCAAAATTTGTAGGTACCGTAGAAGTAAGCGAGCCAACGTTTTAAAAAAGCTTCAACTTTTAACCCGGATCGAACCAGCGACTTTTGTTTGAACGAATCGGTGCACAAACTACTGAACAACTCTACTAAAAATAAGCTACGGAGTTAGCCCACCACATTGGTGGTAAATTGTAATATTTTAGGAAAAATCACATTTTAACATGAAAGGAAGTAAAAATGAATAGCATCAAGGGAATTGTGTCTTTATTAAATTAACTATAAAACCAATACTTTTTACATTTGAAGATAGAAATTAGCATTTTGTAAGGTTTTTTTTAGACTTTAATACATTAGTGATGAATGCATTAATATGAAGTAGACATCCCACCATCATGTTTAAGTTATAGAAGTTTAAGAAAAACATAGAGCAGTAAAACCTTACAAAAGAGTGTGTTGCATAGAAAAAAATGTTTCCACCACCTTTATAACAGGCCAAACTAAAAGATTAACTTAGTGAAAAGGCTCATCAACGTCACATCAACCACTTTCATCCATTGAATCCTAATTGATATAACGGAGATAGTAAAACACTCTAGACAAGCTTAAATTCATCTATGTTCTCTTTTGAAAATAAAGAAAAAGTACAGCTACTTATATAAATGGGATGTCTACTTAAGTAAAAAAATCCCATTTACTATAGGTATACATGTTGCATAGTTATTTATGTACATTTTACTAATGCCACTATGAATGTACAAAAAAACTAACAATGATTTGAACTCAGTTGAATAATTTTGTAATTTAAGTTAATTAGTTCATTAAATTTAAATATAATTAATAGTTTTGTTTTCCTTTAGTTATAGTTAAATAAATAAAAATTGTAGTATATAAATATTTTAATTAATTCTATCTGAACATAGATCAAGACTTCATTAAAATACAAGGTATCACATAATTTTTTTTATATTTTTTTATTTGAATTTCAAACATTAGCGTAGCTTAAATGTGGGTCCTATAAAAAAACAATAAACAAAACATTTAATAATAGACCCCTACCATTATATATATAAAAACATTCAAACGTGTAAAAATTAATAAATAACTAATAAATAAAGCTTAAAACTATCTTTGGTAACTCACAGCATATTTCACAACTTAATATTCACACTAAAATAATTAAATTTGTTTACACTTTGTATTTTACTCCTAACCTTTTGTGTCATTGTAATGGAAAAGGAGTTTGACTGCTGCCTTAAAATAGGTTATAAAATTACTCAAGTAATGAGTACAAAAAATAATTTAAGTAAACCTACACAAGACCATAAACCTAATAAATAGTACAATAGACCCTCTCTAATCCGGCACTGCATCACTCCAGTACTCCAGTAATCCGGCGTCTTTAGACGGGTGAGGTCTTCCCCGATCGCGGCAAAATTCGGATTATCTCCTGCGTCCGTGTAGACATTATTATCCACTCCCACAGTCACAAAAACGTCATCGTCATCTTGCGCGATCGCGGCAAAATCATGAACATCTCCCGCGGTCATAGAAAGGTCGTCGTCGTCATGCAATTGCGGCAAAATCATGAACAACCTCCCGCAGACATATATAGAGTTAGTGAGTCGGAGTGGTAGTTAGTGAGTCGGTGGCTCAGTCGATAGCGTCGCGGATTTCGGGCCCATGGCAGCGATGTCGTGGGTTCAGATCCTGATCACTGCCGATAACATTTTATCAGTACAGTTCACCTTTGTACTGTACCGGCTCACTTCTTGCTTTGTTGTAAACGATCCTCGCACGGGCACTTAGTCTATGTGGACAGGCAAATGCAAGGTTAAAAGAGGCCACCAACCTCTTTTTTTTAAAAAAAGAATGAAAAAGAAAAGAAAGATAGACGTTATCATCGCCTCCTGCGGTCACGGAAACGTCATCGTCTTCATGCACGATCGTGGCAAAATTATGATTATCTCCCGCAGCCGTGTAGACGTTATCATTGTCTCCCACGATTACGGAAACGTCATCGTCGTCATGCCCGATCGCAGCAATAGAGGTTTCCGATCGCGCGATCTTCGGGGACGTGTTTTAATTGCATTTTTAAGTGTTTTTATTGACAACATTCCAGTAATCCAGCAGTATCATGGTCCTATATCTGTTGGATTACTGAGAGTCTACTGTACTCTTCAAATTATCTTCAATTATTTATTTAGCTGTGATACTTCAAAATTATTTTATTATCAATCTTATTTCCTCAGCAATTCAAGATTTTAAAATTTGCGGAAGCATTAGTTACAAAACTTAAATTAAAAGAAAATATTTTAAAATCTAGTGCATTAATTTATTTAAAATTGTCTATAAAAACTAATGAATTTCCTTACAAATTCAAACATCCACCTATATTTATTAAATTTTTGTATTAGGTCTTATTTTGTTTTAATACATTTAATTTGTTCCTTATAATAGATTTGGTGTAATTTTTCTGTGATGCATTCCTTACATTCAGTGTTTAAATTTATACTAGTCAAAAATACATGCAAAAAAACTAACATAAATAATTTTATGTATAGAATGTAAATGTAAACAAATACTGACTATAGTACCATTTAGTGAAAAAATAGTACTGATGAAAGTGAAAACTTTGATGTATGACTTTAAGCCTTTGAGTAAAGCAATTGTGCAAATTGTCTTTTTTATTATTTACAACAATTAATTTTAAATGCCCAAGATTCTTTGTAATAATCATAACAAAATCAAATTACAAGTATTAAATAGAATCTGTGACTATTTGTTGAAGTAGACATCCTTTTCCCTTGTAAAAGTTGTAGCCAATTTATTTTTTTTTAATTAGAGTAGTTAAATTTAACCCTTGACTGTGTCTGTTGCTTGCTGTCAATTACTGATTTCAGTGAAATACGCCAACTTTTGATCCACGCTTAACTAAAAGTCAACTTATTGTCTACACTCATCTTTTATTTATGCCACTAAACTTATTGTAGAATCAAACTAAGGGAGGAAATAGAATAATTTTTGCAGTAGCTGATTAAATATAGGCGGGATGTCTACTTCAGTATCTAAAATTCAATGAATGTGTACAAAAATCCAAGGTTTGTTTAATACTACTACTAAATTCTAATGACTAGAAAAGTCTTAAGTATTTATCTCACTAATATGATGTGTTGTAGTGATGATAAGTGGGCGAATGTGAGGGTCGAGTGTACGAGGGAGGTGACGCAGTGAGGGGATAGGTCTGATAGGGAGGAGGTGATATAATCCTAATGGGTTCTATCAGACTTTGATTCATCGGTGGAGTCAACTGATGATGGCTCCTCGGCAGAGACAAGTCTACACTGTGCGAAAAATTTACGACTCGTAAAACATCGGTGTGAGAGTAACTCCTTGGTTCATACAACGGATACCTCGGTGTCACGGAGACGAATGAGTGGTGATACCCAGTTCGCGACATATCCAATCCTTCGACACTCTCAAAACTCCTCTCCTCCATGTTATCATACTTGTATGGAATATCTAGCATTGGTTTCTTCAACAAACTCAAGTTTTGTACCATGTTGACACCGTCGTTCGAGTCCTCTCTTCTGTGATGATCGTATCGTAAATCTTCCAAATGGAAAGAATCGATTTGTCCGGGAGGTGGAGATAAACGGAAGTCGTAATGCGGAGTTCTCTCGGGAAACATGAGACTGTAAGGGTGTCTTGGACTCATCGTTGTGTAACACGACTCCATCGCCAAATGTGGACTTTGGCTTTGGTCCTGAATTGGATATTCCACTGGAGACACTGGTCGGCTCAGACCCAAAGGTGAGTGAGGAATGTGAGATCGCAACAACGGATAAGACTCTTTATTTGTCACTAAGGACATCGGTGACGGTACTTTTGAAGGCATGTCAATATCTCTCTCTGCTGCGTCCAAGGCGGCTTCCACGAGCAAGCTGGCGTTTGCGGAGTCCTGCTTACAGTTGTGGAACAGCATAGGGATCGGTTCCTCGTCGATGTGAGAAACATTGATATCTTGGTCTTTATCGTCTTCGTCAAAGTCGAATACATTTGATTTTGCAGCATCGTTAGTCTCAATCCACTTCTTGCTGCCTTTGCTCGCTACTATGAGGGTATCCATGGCGGGTTGGCTGGACTGATCTCCTGTCACTGATATGGGAGGCGACAGAGGTGGTTCGTTGGCGTATTTTTCTGAATTGTCTTCACCTGAAACATAATAATAATTGATTACGTACAAGTCAAAATACAGTAGAACCTTGATAACAAGACTCTCATGGGGATCATGGGGATAAAATAAGACTTGTTATCAAGGTTGTCTTCTTATCGAGGTTTGTAATAACATGTGATTAGGGGTAAAATACTTTAAGGGGATTTGAAAATGACACTTGTTATCAAGGGCGACTCGTTATCTAGGGTCTTCTTACCAAGGTTCCACTGAATGATTTTTACACCTATTATGTATAATCTCTATATTTAAGCTACTTAAACTAGGCCAAAATAATATTCTCATTCTTTAGTAAAATCTGAAGCCTGTTCTGCGAGTTATGTTGGGTAAAAGTTGAGCATGTTAACATTGACTAAATGCTTCTCTATTAATTTAGCGTTAATTTTACCAGTGGTTAGGTCACTAAAAAAAAAAAACACAAGGAAAAGTGACAAGAATTTTGTAGAAATTTGAGAAATTTGTTGGAAATTGAAGAATTGGAAATCTACAAAAAGAATGGCAAGACAAAAATATGAATAAATCGGTAGATGAAATTATGTACACGTTTGAGAGGAAGAACGTTATTTAGAGAGAGATGATGATGGAAATGGCAAAAAATGGAACACATGAGCTGTCAGGGCCTATTCACACTGAGCCACCATGGTGGCGACACCGTGGTGACACTGGTGGCCGGTCAAAATGCGCATGGACCACCAGCTCAGCCACCAGTGCAGCTGCAGCCACAAAGCTCACAGTTGGACGTCGAAGAGGTAGGTGATTAGCGTATTAACACTATTGATTGGACTTATCTAAAGCATTCGACTGTGTATCGCATGAATTGCTTCTAAGGAAACTCTCCTTGTACGGGTCTGGGGGGGCTGTTCAACGGATGTTTACGTCCTACTTCAGTGGCCGCCAGCAGGTGGTATCAATTCAAGGTGCAAAATCTGGGGTGGCTGCGATTACGAGCGGAGTTCCGCAAGGCTCAACACTTGGACCTAGCCTCTTTATCATCTTAATTAATGATTTCAACCTAGAGAGCTATGATGCCCTATTATATGCAGATGACACTGCCATTATTAATAGTGGTAGTAACATGGCCAATTTAACAACGGGGTCGAATTTCTGCCTAGGGGAGGCTAAGGAGTGGTTTAGGCTAAACGGACTGCAGTTGAATGAGGGGAAAACTCAGCAGCTGCTCTGCAGCTTGTGGACCCGCCCTGAAGCCAGGTTGGATGGGCCTAGTGTGACTGCAGTCAAACTGTTAGGTGTTACCATTGATGAGAAACTTACCTGGAACCAGCATATTGATGTAATTTGCAAAAAGTTATCTCGAGTTAATTGTCTTTTAAGGAAACTAAAATCCCAGGTGACGTCTGACTATCTTAAACTAGCCTATTTTGGTTTGTTTCATTGCCATTTAAGCTATGGCTTGGTCTTATGGGGCCATGCTCCGAACACTACTAGAGCTCTGATTATGCAGAAGACTGCTGTTAGAATTTTATCTTCGAGTGGTAGACGAGATCATGCCAGACCACTTTTTGAACAGCTCGGCATTCTCACGATACATAGCCAATACATTCTAGACTGCCTCCTTCTCTTGAAAACTGACCCTAGGCTCCCTCATATTACACGAGACCAACTCCACAATTACAACCTGCGCTCTGCAAGGAATGTGGATGTCCCGAGGTGTAGGCTATCAAAGACCAAGGACTGCTTTCCAGTGTTAGCACACAAGCTCTACAATAGACTGCCCCTTCACATTAAAGAACTCCTTCTTGAACCTTTTAAAGTCCAACTAAAACAATGGCTGAGTAGGAAGTGTTTTTATTCCATTGAGGAATACTTTACTACTGCAATGGACTTTTGAGTATGAATCCGGCCGCCATGTAGTGTAAATACTGTAAATATTAGTTTATTAATTCTTAAAAGTAAATTTTATTTGACAAGATCAATCCAGACATCTGGTCAACGATCGCCAGTTGGTAATGGTAATGGTAATGGTATATATATTTTTTAAATTGCGAAATCATAAGAAAAAAACGTAGTTTTTGGTTCGTCCGTTTGTATGAGATATAAGTACCAGAGGGACTTTTTTCATTCACTACCAAGAAATAACCCTGACACGTTTTACACTTACTCAAGAATGAGTGTTTTAAGTTTTGATGAGCTTCTGGGACGTCTGAAAGATAAAATATCAGGACAATCTACGAGAATGCGGGGCAGCATATCTCCAGAAGAGAAACTATTACTAACGTTGTGGAAAATTAAATAAAAACATAGTTAATATACCTTTTATTAATAACACTATAATACCTTGACTCAATGTATACATTGATTTTTGATGTATACACTGATTTTTTATAAAATTTTCTGTATCTATGATTTCTGTTTTGTTTTATTGTATAAGCTGATTATGTTAAAATATTTATATTATGTTTTAAAGTACAGGTTAAGTGTAAGAAAGGGCCATGTGGCCCTAACTTTGCCTGTGTAAATAAATGATTTTTCATTTAATTACATTGCAATGACGAAAAGATGTTAATGAAATAGAGTATACATTTTGTTATGTCATTAAAATCGTTTCTCCTATATTTATTACCTTAACAACAAAAGATCAGTAAACTAGTATACTGAGTAATGCCCGCTGGTAGTGACTGGTGGCGCTGCCAGTCGCTCCAATGTGAACAGTCCGATAAGAAACCATGGTGCGACGTGGTGGCGCCACCAGACTGGTGTCTTTGAAAATCGCAACCCCGAGCCACCGTATTTCTGGTCGCGCGGCCAGACGCGCCACCAAGGCTCAGTGTGAAGATGTCCCATTTAAATCAATGCTAATGTAACGTAGCCACCATGGTGTCGCCACCGGTGTCACCACCATGGTGGCCCTGTGTGAAGGGGGCCTCAATCAATTATGATATTGTTTCAACTTAAACACTGAATATGTGACATACTAAATTCGAAAACACCCTTATGTTCTTTACAACACTAATCATAATTTGTTTTTCAGCTATTATAATATTAAATTTAGTGTCGTACCATCACTGCTACACTGAGAGTCACTATTGACGCTGCCAGGTCGTCGTCCGCCTGCGTACGCGTCAAACGTGTACTCCACCGACCGCTGTATCGGAGGGATACTGTCCTCGGCCAGCCCGTGCACCTTGCGGTAATGAAACTGAAGACACTGCTTGGTGGTGAATGCAGCTGGGCACTCCGCCTCTCTACATCTACGACAAGGAACAATCCATCAATCATTAAGAGTCATCATAAAAGTCATACAAAATTCTAAAAAAACTTTTTTGAGGGTAAAGATGATATAGATCCACTTGAGCTCCTGCAGGATTTCCTGAGCGCTTCTAAAGCTCTGAACCTCGAATTAAATTTCAAGACTTATTTAGTTAAAAGTGTAGAACAGCTTTTGTATTGACCCCTAGATTTGATCGGCTCCTTATGAGCACTCAGGGGAAGAAATTTGAGTTTGGCTGGTTCTAGGGGTAGGCTTTCCGTCTAGCTTTGTGAATACAGTCTTATTCTTCAATGGAATTTACGTCACGAATAGAATAATTAATTATATTAAAATAATTAAGTTTTTTATACAGAAAGTGGAAAAGGAGGAGCTTTATTTGGAGGGGCATGAATAGAAGATGCTTATTACAAGTCAACAGCACCTATACTGATTTTCTGGGCGTCCTTTCCAAGCAATTTTTTGTGATGCTAAGTTTTACGCTTAAAAAATAAATAGTGAGGTATTATTGTTTTTGTGTATATTGTTAAGCTCTATTTCCCATTGGGCAAGCCTGCTATCCTCACAAAAATGTTTAAACTCCATAATGTACGGTATGTTTAATCCATGGTTAAGCATTGAACAACAGTAGACAGTATACTTAGAATGAAAGAAAAGTGCGATAGAAGTGACTTACTTGAAAGGCTTGATCCCAGAATGGGTCAACATGTGTATCTTCAAGTTGGATTTGTTTTGAAACATCTTGCCACAACGATCACACGTAAAGGCTCCAACAACATCCTTCTGGTGAACCTGAACATTCATTTCATTTTTTTTACTGGTACTTTACTATTACAAAATTGATTTGTGTTGTTGGATTATCGTAGCATTTATTTATTATAATATTTTCACTTTTAGTAAATTGAGCTCTCTGATACAGAGAACAGTTTAACTCTAGAACAACAATCTTTTTGGGATAGACCTAGTTAGATAAACAGATTGTGGTGGATTTTTGAACCATTGAGTCACAGCTTAAAAGCAATTGGTGAATGGCAAGGTGAATGAGAAATCATTTTTGGATTATTTAAGTACCCCAAAGATACTTCACCATTGATCAGGCCTACAAAACAATATTATTAGTTTTAATTTACTTTACTTTCAAACGCTGCACTGGGAGTCATAGACGTGTTGTAAATATTTTAGCATATTGAGTCAAAATTTTATTGCATTTAACTGTATGTGAGCAGATCGCTACATACACCCAGCTACAATATTATAATAATTCAAATCTGTTGCTGGTGTCCCACTATCACGATTTTGATTTCAATTTCAAAGTCAATACAAATTTCCAAATTTTTGTGCTTGGTCGATTTGTCAGGAAGATGAGATCTTCTTATGTTAAATATTTTTTACCACACAAAAGTAACACATTTGAGACATACCTCTTTGAAGTGCCTCTGTAGAGCTGGTCTAGAACCCAAGATTTTCAGACAATGTTTGCACTGGAAATCCCTCAGCACGTCTAACATTTCTGCAACATGTCAAAAATATGTTTAACTAAATAAAATAAAATATAACCCTTGGGTTCAATTTCAATTATTATCAATCATTGAGATGGGGACACCACCTAGGTGCGTATTTGAACCCAAGACCAGCTGTTTCATCAGGCAGGACGATTTATTGAAAGCCCAATGATTGATGACAGCTGGGTCCAGTATCGAACCATCAAAAAGTTATAAAAAGTTCAAAGGATCGATCAACTTCTCATAGATAACTAGAAAAGATTTAGAAACCATTAAATCAGTACACTTACACTAGAGTATTGAAGTATTGATACTCTAAATTCCCAATTGAATCTAAACAAGGGATTTGGGAAAGAATTAACAAATTGGGAGGGTTTCAAATTAAGCAGCAATCGTAATATAACTAAAGAGTAACTGGATGTTTTCTTCACAATGCTTCTGATGCATCCATTGATAGGTAATTATTTTGTTTTGTTGAATAACTAAAACAATTAGGATAATAGGAGAGTTAGGTTAGTAACATTTTATACTCACCGCTATGCATTCGCTTGATATGCACTTTCAATTTCTGGGGTTGGCAGAATTTACGGCCACAGTAGTCACACAAGGGACGACTTCTGTTAGGATTGGCCGAGCAGCCGTACGTGCGATGCATCTCCAGATAATTGAGACGAAGGAAAAACTGACAACAATAAACATTTTTATGTTAAGAACAAAATAATAAAACCTTATGATAAAGATTATGGTGAAAAAATTACGTTGATGTGGTCCCAACCAATAACTTATATTAGACAGTTGAGATTACATATTTTACAGAACTGTTAACTGTGATAAATAGTCAAGGTTATTTCCCAAATTTCTAAAATCCTTTGATATATTTCTCTGTAAACATACAATAGAACCTTGATAAGAAGTGTCTCAAGGGGATTTGGAAAAAAGTCCTATCAAGGCACTCTTCTTGTCATAGGTCGTGTTTAATAAGGTCATTTCGGCCAGTTGTTTGCCTTGATGTTCATCAAGGTTAAATAAAAACACCAACCATCATTATAATGAGAGCATTTCAGAATTTATGCAAACACATATTTTCTTTCAAATTGTAATATATAGTGCAGTAGGCAGTTAATATTGTGTAACAAGTTGAAATGGGTTATTAAATAAAATGTTAGTATAATCAAAAACACAGGAGTTTAATTTTTTTGTTCATTAAACAAAAAACCATTTGAAGAACCATTTGAAGGTTCATTAATACATTAACAGTACATACATAACTAAACAAAAAGTCTTTGATTTTTGTTTGTTTGGACTTAGTAACAACACTGGGTTGTTTGGCTGTAGTCCAAGGCACTATCAAGGATAGTTATCGTCCCAAGAACAAAAATACTACCTACTTGAGATAAAACAACAAATAATAAGGAACACAGTAAAGGCCGGTTTTATGCACCGCGACAGTCGCGTGTCGCGTGTCGCGGCGCGACTTAAGTTCTATTGAGTTAAATGAGAGCATTTATGCACCGCGACAGCGACAAACTGTCGCGTGAGTGAATCTGCGATCTCTAAATACCCGCGACAGGTTTTAGAATCGCAGCTTCAAAAAATGTGTTGCGCGCGGTTCAAGTTCTATTGGATCAAATGGGCACGTTTATGCACCGTGACAGTCGCGGCGCGACAGTAGTATTTTTCATACTCCACGTGGTATATTCTCCATATATTTCTATTGATTAATGTTAATAAGTAATATATAAATGAGTTCTATACCCTTTATTTGTAATACAAATTACATCATTTTATTATGTAATGACATTTTTAAGAGGGTTGACCCAATTCCAACTGGAAATTGTATGCATTGTTTAAATAACTGGGATTTTGTCATTAACGTGTACAACACTACAGGGTCTATATTTAAACAACTTAATAATCACTTCTACATCACAAACACAACACACAACATTGTATTGAGAACAGACTGATTTCTCTAATTCCACCACCACCGGATGTGAGTTTACGCGACAAAAAAGTGTCGCTGTCGCGTGACATTTTGGTCAGCCGCAAGACGTGGCGCTACTCGCGACTCGCGACTGTCGCGGTGCATAAAAACAGCCAAAGACTTAGACCACAATGGAATTAATAAACACGCTACTAATCTATCGACAATAAACCAGATTCTGAAAAATGGTAGTGGGGTAGGTGCGCGTAGAGTAGGGGTTTCACTTGTTCTAGGCTAAATCCCCTAAAAATACCCCCCCAAAAAAAAGTTCCTCCAAAAAAATCTGTTCTGGCGAATTCCCGTGGGAACTGTTCCAAACGGTTATGTAGAGTCGTGTTACCATGGTTGACTTCTCAAAACGACTTGTCATAGAGGTTCTGAGTTGCCTTGTGATTTGGAGAAAATGTGTCGTATTGAGTTGTTAAAAAAAAATTGTTGTGTTATAGAGGTTAATTTAACATTGAGTGTTTGGGGTTTTTCATGGGGATTTGAAAAGCGCACTTGTAATAGAGGTTGTCGTGTCATTGAGGGTTCTAATATTGCAATCACATGTTCTATTTACAGCGTGGGGGGAAAATAGAGAAGCATATTAGGCCTACAAATTTCCGGTCAAGTTTTTGACCACTGGACGACCACTAGTTACTTAAAAAGTACACAACTTAAGATTTTTCTACGTAAGGAATCAATTGAACTTTATAATAGTAGGTAGTGTCATTCGGTGTCTGGATAAATCTTGGAATTTGTAAATCAATTTTACTTTCAAAAAATTGTTTTAAATTTTTTATTTTTATAACTTGTATATTTTTTTGTTTTTTTACACTTTGACTAACCTATTACCACTATTTTGTAGAAAATTTTACTGTGAATGGTGAAATAATTATTAATTTATTACCTAAGGTTTTCTTTCTATAACAATTAGAGTAAAAGTCTACAAATTCGGTAAAATTAATTGCCGACAGAGGGTGCTGCAGGCAGAGCATTAATTCCTTCACCAATGGGTTAAAGGTTTATTTAGTTTAAAGGTAAAATTTATGGACTATGATACTCTTTCAAAAGAGGACTCAGGATAAAATTTTCCTGTAGTGTCCAATTAAATTTGTTGTGCCCACAGAGCATAGAATAAATATTCAGTCGCCACTCCTATACCTACAGCTATACCAATAGTGAAGCCGATTTCCGCCATCTTGGTGAGAGAGTCGGGCTCGGAACTTTGAATACACGGCGTCATTACCACTGTGTTTTTCTATGCTACTTTATGAATTAGATGAAGCTACCGCTCCGAGGATACATATAGAACTACCCCCCCTTCGATATTGACCTAGGACTCTGCAACGCGGGCTTTCAAAGTTCTGAGGTGAGAGTTTTAAAAGTAAATATTGATTAGTGGTTTCCATGGTAACAATATAATGGTTTAAATGTAACTGCAGACCGGGTTGGCCGCCATCTTGGTACGAGAAGCCTGCTTCACTCCAGACGGCTAGTGCCGCCTCTATATTTATTCTATGCTCTGTGGTTGTGCCACTGGATGTTGGTGGATAATAACAGTAAAAGATGCATTTTTAGCCATATGGGGGCAATAATACATTATGATTCAGTTTTGATAATTAAAAATATGTTTAAATGAAAATTGTTTAATCACCTTAAATTATGGATTCCAAGGGTTTAATTGAAGTCTGGATATAAAAAGCAAGCAAAAAAAGTTTAAGTAAAAAAGTAGGCCTATTACGTTTCTCAAAGCTTTTATTTTATATGTTTATATGGAACAAAAATAAAAAAAGGTTAATCATTAGCATAGATAAATCATACTCCTTAGTAGATTTGTCATCCTTATGGAACAGCTGAAGCCAATTTTATTGTTTGTTCTGTACGTCCAACTGTAGAGGTTATGTTTTGTTTATAATTTGTTTCTTGTTATTTCAGTCATTTAAAACCTCATTTAATCGTATAAAACGATTTAATCATAAAGAATAACTGGTCCCTTAGTTATATAACCAAATAGTAAAGTACAAATAATGAAAATAACCCTAAAATAATAGAAACAAAATGTGGTCTATCCCAGCGATCAGAGTGGACGTACATGAAAAACAAGCTTCAAAATTTACAATGGGATGAGGAGTCTACTTGTGTTGCTTAGTCTATGTCATTAGCTTTCAAAATATTTACCTTATTACAAAACTGGCATTGGTAGGCACCTTTTCCATTGTGTTTCTCTGCTGCATGCTTGACGATGTTTTCCTTTCCAAGAACTGAACAACCACACACCTAAACAGTAAGCTCAAATTGTAATAGGCACGAGACCAGGATTGTTTTTCATATTACTTCAGGCTAGAAGGGGGTGAGGCATTATCACTTAGATCAAATCCATTGGTGATTTAGTAGGCTGTGAACCCGAGACCTCAGGAACAGAAGTCCCCCGCTTTACCACTAGACCAGCTCGCTACCATTATACAACATTAGTACACACATAAACATTATGTAACACACAAAGATACAACATAATATGCTTAATAAGTGGGACTCATGGCTTTCGAATACCACCAAAAGTTTTAAAGAAAGATGGATAAATGTAACTTAATTATAATGGTAGTCATTCATTTTTTTGGTTGGCGAGTGGTTATAGGGCTTGCCATAAAATCTATACAGTTCTGGTTTGATTCCAAATGAGATTGATTAAACCCACATGCCAATTGTGACTGGGTTATCAATTAATGGTACTATCTAGAAAAAATGTGACATTAGGTAATAGCAAGATAAGGCCTGGTTTTGGAATGTTCCCTTACAAAACATTAAAAATGCCAGTGGCATTATACAACTATTTACCTTGCAATGGTACTTGCGGACCGTAAGGCTGAATGAGGGGTCGTGGAACACTGTACAGTGGAGCCGATAATACAGGGTGTGCGAGAAACTTAGATTGCATCCTCCACACTCTGTGAACATACATTGCAAGTAACTGTGAAAATAGTTGGTACAAGGGCTGTGAAGAAAGTAACAGACATTTGGGCCGAGCCTAACAGTTTACGGGACTAGAGCTGTCATCTAGGAACGAGGCATTAATTTATTGAACGACCGTACATATGTATATTTACTATTGATATTTGGTTGCTTTGTTAATGCATGCGCCCTGCACTAATGATGGGCTTTTATTATTTGCACAAAGACCATCATACGTAACTTTTGTACTTGATCTGCAGTGAGGTAATGAAGTGGGAGCTACATTTCCTATAAAATACATCTTACCAGTTAAGTATGTTTTAAAAAAAAAAAACTTCATTATTTATTATGACTTTAAAATTTGTTATAAAATGTAGTTTTTAGCTTGGCTTTTTTTAACATTATATAGACAGCAGTTGTATTATGAGTGTTTTCACAATTTCATTATTTTCCTTATTTTATTCAGCCTAACACTTTTACAATACAAATAATTTAACATCACCTAAAAGTTGTATTGTTTTTGCTTAAACTAGTTAGCCTACTATTTTAAACCTAGTGTTAGCCATCCACACTTAGATTGTGAATGTTTAAACATTTATCCCATACAAAAAACATGTCAAAAATAATAACAGATAGGTACTCACTTGTTTTATTGAGTTTTTTATGTGACCAGGCATTGTTCGTGTTTTCCGCCCAGAAAAACAACTCCTCTCCCTCCGAGATGGCCGATGTTGTGACAAAAACTAATTGGTGGTTGCTCAGAACCACTTCCAAATTACGCTTGGATCTCGTAGCAGCGGGATGAACGTACCGCAGCCAATTAGACTCGTTCGGATCACTTGTGGTCAAGTATTGGCTACCATTTGCATCGTTCAGCTATAAACATCGTGAGTGGGTTTTAGGGACAAAATTTGACAAATAAAATCATAAACCATTATAAAATGTGAAGTGTAATGTCTTTTATCCCACAAAACTCACTGGATCAAAACAGCTGAAACTTTGCACAAAGATAAGTTTCGTAAAAACAAGTTTTCTTTAAAAAAATAAAAGGAAGAAATAAGTTTTCAAACGCTAGTATCCATTTGAATACGCCTACTGTTATTACATTGAATCGCTTTTTAGTAATTTGGTTATTCTATGCATTCTTACTCACAATCTATGATTCGAATATTAGGGATGGACAGGTTTTTTATTTCCTTCCCGATATTCAGGACGGGACGGGCCGGGATCTTTTCCTGTGTATAAAAAGTCTTGAGTATTGCAGCTACCAAAAAAGACATACAAATCGAGTTTTACCATTTGTGGCACTGATCTAAAATAACCAAAAAATTGATAAAAATGTACAAGTATAGAAACTTATGACTCGTGGTCACGGTGCGATCGTCAAAATGACTCGCGGTCGCCGCGGGATCGTCAAAATGACTCCGCGGTCATGTCGTGATTGTTGGTAAGACTCTGCACTCACGGGGTAATCGTCGGTACGGCTCGCGGTTATAGCAGGATCGTAGAAAGGATACAAGTATCGGAACCCGTCCATCCCTACCACTATATAATATTTTCTGCAGAAACTAATACTAGTTAGGTGTAAGAAAGGACCATGTGGCCCCAATTTTGCTTGTGAAAATAATTTATTTTTTTTTTTTTTTTTTTTTTGTAGGCTGGGCTTTCTGCAGCCCTCGCCATCTTTCTGTGACAATGTCGCACTGTCGCCGTAGTTCTGCTTTGGAGTCATTATGAAAGGTTTAAATGTCCCATGTTTGTGTAATTAATACAAAACTAAACAGGATAATACAGGCGACTCCCTATCATTTGGATATTTTTGTATTTTGGATGGTAAGGCTAGTGTATCATGTATCTGTGCATGATACATACCCACACATGTTAGTTTTTCCATAGCCACATTAGTTTTATTAGTTGGTTAGAACGTCTGCAAGATCGTCTGCAAGATGGCGGTGGATAATGATTCCGAATGTAAGGTGTGTGGAAAAGTGACTTTAGAGGATGAAGATGCAGTATGTTGTGACGGTTTCTGTAGTGGATGGTTCCATATAAACTGTGTGAACATTAGCAAAGAAAATTATAACGCTATAAACAAATTTCATGAAGCTATCAAGTGGTTGTGTAAGGACTGTACCGGCCGCATTGAAAAAGCCCGGGACTACGAGTTCTCTGCTGAGGACTATTTCAACATGCATGATATGGTAGGAAAATTATTTTCCATCGTCAAAGGACTCTCAAATGACAATGTAGCCATAAATTTAAAACTCGATACAATTTTTGAGTCAACTTTGAGGTTAGATCACAGCATGCAAAAATTGTCTGTCAATCAACCGGAAGCTGCGGACGACACAACAACAAAAAATCATCAGTCTACAGCTGACAATCTTGGAATGGTGGAAACATCTGACAACCTACGTAACAGCTCGGATCTCGATCTGTCATCTGGTCCAAAACAATCTGTGACCCAACTGTCACCTCCTGTGGATAAAAAGGATTGTGACATTGTGATTGTGGATACAGTTGTTGAACAACAAAAAATACCCTGGAATGAAGTTGTGAAGAAATCGAAAAAACACAAGGTTAGTAAGCCGGCGCAATCTGCTGTAGGCCTTTATGAAAAGAAGAAATCTGGACAAGAACCCAACTTAACCTCATCTGACAATGAGAACCTAGCCTCTCTCAGCCAAGTGCAAAAACAACCTGCAGGTAGGCCTACTCTATCTGAACCTAAGCATAACGTCTATGATAAAAATAGGAAAGAAACTAGGGCAAAAGTTGGATCTAGAGCCAGGGACATTCAAGTTGTTGTTGGTACAGGGGGGGATGAGCTTTGTGGTGTTAAAAGAGCATGGTTTCACCTTAGTAAAGTAAATAAAGACACAACCTCCTCTAATGTTGAAGACTTTCTTAAGAAAAAGTTTCCTCAAAGGGATTTTGTGGTAGAGAAGCTGGACTCAAAAGGCATCAACAGCAGTTTCAAAATTGGTGCAGACTTTGAACTTAGAGACAATCTGCTTGAAACAGCCTTTTGGCCTAAGAATGTTGCTGTAAAACGTTTTTTATTTTACAGGAGGAAAGCCCCTCAAACAGGTTAACAGAAGAACTAACCCCTAACCCTAGTCCCACTGAGGTAAGAATTTCAAGTAGGCCTAATGTAAATATTCTACATAAGACTAAGCCTGGCACACTTTCTGTCAAAATTAAAGTTGCTAGCGTAAACGTTCAATGCCTAAGGACTAAATTTGACCTACTATCCTTATTTGTACTTCAGCATAAACCTGACATTCTTTGTATCTGTGAGCACTGGCTAAACTCTTCTGAGCATGATTTGTATAAGAAACTTGAATTCTTGAGTCTTCAAAGCGTATGGTGTCGACAGCTGCACATTCATGGAGGCACGCTTATTTATGTAAATAGTGTAAATAAAGATTTTAAATGTAGAAATGTGGATCTATCTGAGTTTTGTGTAGAGATGGACCTGGAATTGGCTGCGGTGCACCTTGTTGATATGGACTGGATCATTGTCTCAATCTATCGTTCCCCCTCTGGGAATCTCGATGGCTTCTTTTCACGTTTGGACGACTGCTTAAGGTATCTTAGCAGGCTAAAAGCTAGAATCCTCCTTTTAGGTGACATTAATATTCACCTAAATTACAGAAATGCCCATGAGCTTGAATTTCTAAATCTAATCCACAGTTATGGTTTATTCCTAGGAAACCGAGAACCAACACGTGGAAACAACCGTGTCGATACCGTTGTGACCGATCTACCATCCGAATCGTACACAGTAAGTGTTGTGGACCCCCTTGTTGCCGACCACTGTGCTGTCCTAATGAATGTGTCTACTGAAATGGTAAGTCATCAACCTCAGACTCCTTCTTGGTATAAGGACTATAGTTTTAACAAGCGTAACATAAATGATGCTAGCCTGGCACTGTTCTCAGCAATGTTAAATCATGTAAACTGGAGGAACTTTGACTTCCCTACTTTGTGCCCTGAGGAGGCTTTTACATTATTTTTCCAGACATTTATAAATAAGTTTGACATAGCCTTTCCAGTTGTGGTGAAAAGAGGCCAAAAGGTCACAACCATCTCTAAGCCTAAAAAACATTCAAAACCCACAGTCTGGTATACACATGAATTAGCTGAATTAAAAAAGCGTATCTGTTTTCTTTTTGATCTTTATAAGACAGCTCCAAATGTTGAGCTAAAGGTTAAGTTTTATGACAAGTATCTAGCTGCTAAGAGGTTGTATAGGAAAGAGGTTACTGTTGCTAAGAAAATATGTAATGAAAAACTAATATCTGAATCTCATAACCCTTGCAAGGCTGCTTGGGATCTGGTCAACTCCTCTAGGAAGGGTAGGAAGGATTCTCCTTTTTCCAGTATATCTCCAGATGACTTTAACTCATTTTTCAAAGAGTCATAAGGAAATACCCGATATGAATGTCAATCCAGCTGACATGGTAACAAATGCCAGTAATTCACATCTATACTTATTTAATACGCAAGCACGATTCTTGTGACAATTACTCCTTCGAAACTACTGAACCGATTAACTTGTTTTTGGTGTCATTGGAAAGAGCGTAACGTGAAGTTGTGCAGGAAACTTTCTATTTAGGTAAATAATTCGAGAGTGAGGCCCTGGGGCCCTTTAAAGTTTCGTATTTCTCCATAAGATTAACATGGGAAACAAACATTGTTTTGAAACTCCAGCTGTCGTCATAAATTAAATATTAAATAATTGGTCTCCATGGAAGCATGAGAAAATTCACAATGTTTACATTTGCTTTGACATTTTATTGTAAACAACCAGAACTGTCAAATGTCTATTTCACAAATTCCGACAGCTGATCCAAAAAATGTATTTTCCTTCCACCATGTATAACAACTATGTGGTAGGTTTATTTATTCTTAAACTTTATGATAGATTATTTACTATAAATCTATTTCAATGATTATGAAACAGATTTTTCACGTTGCGAAGCAAAAATTAATAGTGAGAAGAAGAACATATGTAAAACAGTCAATGTGTAAATTATCTATGTTGTTAAAAAAAATTAATTAAAAATGTGTTTAGTTTTGGATGTTGGTTTGTGTTAAATGATATCGGTTATTAGTTATTGCATTTTTATTCTAAGGATTTGGCATATGAGTAAGCCTATGATAAATAACACCATTTCAGAGTTCTGCCAGTTTTTGCCTAACTCTATCCTGTAGAGTTTAAAGTAGCCTACACCTTATTGTCTACATATTGGCTAAACAACTTAGGTACGGTACTTTATAAAAGCTGACAGCCTTTTTACGTTGACTTAAATTGTAAGCTTACCTTTTCCCGTACATGGGCAGATTGATTGTTAAAAATTAACCCTTTAAACTGGAATAGAACTGTCATGTAAATTGTGAGTATTTCTTTTAGTTAATAATCTTTTAGTTGACTCTTTTAAAATCATTAGAAATTATGACTGTTATTAGTTTTTAAACAAGTTACTTGTTTATAAATAACTCATGTACTTCTTTGCAATTGCTCGATTTCGAGCAACATGTACACTAGTTTTAATAAATGGCAACCAACTACCACCCATAGCATTCTCAAGATAGTTAGCAGCTTTTCCAACTCGGTCAGCCAGGACATCCATGGAGTTTCTACCATAATACTCAAATCTGTGATTACTACCCTAGTTGAACCATTGACATTCTTAATCAACTACTGCCTACAGAATGGGATTTTTCCTGATGCGCTAAAGAGGGCTAAAACTGTGCCTGTCTTCAAAAAAGGTGAACACTCAAGTCCTTCCAGTTACAGGCCTATATCAGTCATCCCTATACTAGGGAAAATATTTGAAACAGTTATGAAAAACCAATTGATGGACTTTTTTGAATCAAATTCCCTTTTTTCTCAGTCCCAACATGGTTTTCGCCCCTCCAAATCAACTGTGACAGCAGTGACTGAACTTGTCTCCAAGATTACTGCAGCTTTTGAGGAAAGGGAATACGTGCAGCTAACGCTTTGTGACCTTAGTAAGGCGTTTGACGTCATAAGCCACAAAATCTTGCTGGACAAGCTAAAAGCATATGGCGTGGGAGGTATGGCCTATCAATCGCTTGAAAGCTATCTCAAGAATCGACGTCAAACTGTCTCTGTTAAAGGTGCCTTCTCAAGAGAACTGTATATTGAGCATGGCGTCCCACTGGGCTCTGTCCTAGGCCCTCTGCTTTTTGTCATCTACATCAATGACCTGAGATGCGATGGGAAGTCCCTCCTCTACGCTGATGACACGACCCTGATATCCAGAAATTCTCGACTGGACCTGCTCCAAAGTGACTCCGAGACTCTCATGGCAACTGCCAAGAATTGGTTTGTGCAGAATAAGCTTAAGTTGAATGGTTCTAAGACCCAAAACCTAATCTGTACCCTAAAAAGAAACATAGTTCCCATCGAAGACTCACAGTGTGTCAAATTGTTAGGTTTCTGGATGGATAGCCAGCTCTCATGGGAAGACCATATATCCCACCTTAACGACAAGCCATCCAAAACAATCTTTCTGCTGCGTAAAATCAAGCTGGAGATATCTGAGCAGTATTTACTGACAGTGTATTATGACCTATTCCATAGTCATCTGAACTACGGTTTGCAGTTGTGGGGTCATGCACCTGGTTCTAGGAGATCCTTCAAACTCCAGAAGAAGGCAATCAGAATTCTTACTTCTAGCAAAGCTGACGCCCACTGTAGACCTCTTTTCATGCGTCTGGGAGTTATGACATTGTTCAGCCAGTACGTCTTAAACAGTGTTGTATACATAAAGAAAAACTTGAATGATTTTAGCTCAAGGGGTGACCTTCATAGTTGCAATACTCGCAACCGTGGCCAACTTGACCTTCCATCCCATCGACTCAGTAAGACTGCAAACAGTTTCCCCACTATGGCCATAAAGCTGTATAATAGCCTCAGTGTTGAGATCAGAGGCCTGCCAGTGAAAGCGTTCGTAGCGCACATGTCTAAGGAGTTGAAGACTAGGCCCCTTTACTCCATCAGGGAATTTTTTGAAACCCCTGACTCAGTTTGGACATCATGATCCACCGCCTTGTATATAGTGTATATAGTGTATATAGACAGAGTTTTAAAATTTTAATTTTTCCATTTAACGCAATCTATCCAGCTATGGCTGGGCAACGATGAAGAACCGGTAAAGGTAAAGGTAAAGGTTTAGCACTATTCCATACTCACATAACATATGGTATAAATTAGTAATGGGTCGGTACTTCACATCAAATGTTGGTTCCGCTGGTTCTTGGCAAAAGAAACGGAACCGAGAACCAGGTATGGAGGGGTATGGATATTATTTTGTGTGGTAAAAAAAGTTGCCTGTCACCCCCTCCCTACATTGTACCATAACAATTGTATCGTAAATATATAGGCCTAGGGGTACCGGTAGTGTTAGAGTAATATGTACGTACAACATTGCTCCTGATGATCCTGCACAAATTGTAAAGTATACATCAGACCTTATGACACTTCAAGAATATATAGCAACAAGGTAAGCCTATATGATTTTATTTTGTTGTTGCTTTCCTTCATTGTATGGTCTAATTTGGAAGTGAAGTACACTATGCACACACTCTCTGGTTTCTAAACCCGAAGATAGTTTGATTTTTTTTTTTGTTTGGACAGTTCTTTAGTCCCAGAAGCCACAAACAGAGAGAATTTACTGCAACACCATAGCCCAACCATTTCATAAATGTTAATTTAAATTTTAACACAAAGTTTAAATGTCGTTCTCAAGTGTTAACACATTATGAAGATCACTGATTCTAAAAGCCTTTCAAATAAACCAACACTGTAGAAAAGAGCGTTTACCAAGAAAGGGCTTTAAGGCTCTTAACACAATTCCACAAATAAAATTGAGAGAGGCGGGAAGAGGGTATGATTTATGTATTGCCCCTAGCCAAAAATCAGGCGGGAGGGTAAGAGCTTTGATTTTATTTAGTATTTACAATATTAATTATTAGCACTATAGCCCAGAATTAAAAGTTCATTTTTTTCCAAACGCCTGATAATCAAGGACAGCTTGAGTTTCAAACTATAGAAAAGCTACTTTTTAGGATCGAACTGGGTGACCCAGTAGACTAACCTCCCAGATATGTTCCATTGTTGAGTCGTCAGGTATATCCTTCTCTTTGATGCAACGGCCCACCAAAGGTCCAAACTGCACAAAGGGCTGTATAGCCTGTCTTGCCACTACACTAAGTCCGGGCTGGCTATCGTTCACTCTTAGTTCCAAACAAGATGGCAGCGAGGCCTCAGCAAAACTCGGTCCTTTAGTCGTCTCTGCTTTGGTCCACTCACTTAGCGAAACAGCATCTAAAACCTAGAAAAATCAAAATGCATTTTTTAAATAACGTTAGTACGAGGCACGTTTTTTAAGTAAGTACCGTTTTCAAATTTCTCCGTTCCAGCGCTTCGATTGGCATTTTTTACATTTGTGCTAAGTGAAAATGAAAATCACAGCGCTGGAACGGAGAAATTTGAAAATGGTACTTACTTAAAAAACATGCCTCGTATTTAGATAATTCTCTCATTTACAGATAAACATGGTTATTTTAAGGAATAGTTCTTTTAAGGGTTAGTTTAATGAATAAGGAATAGTGTTCTTGTTGTATGTGTAGCCTACAATTGTTAGGGTTCTTTCTAAGGAACGTGTAGGCCTACAATAAATACCAGAATAATATTATCTTCCAAAATCTTTTTAACAAGCTCGACAACTTATCAATGTTTTTATTTACTTTAAATACCCTAAAAAAAGTGATTTTGGTTGGATTTCCTATTTCGTGTGTAATTTATGAACAATAATGACTAAATATGGATGTTTTGTTTTTACTGAGACTGCTTGGCTTTAGCGGTACAATAACATAACAAAGACATAGCAAAATATTACTTTTATTCACATTTATAACCATCAATTATTGTTGCCTTTGAATACTCCAAGCTAACTTTTAAGCCTGTTGTACAGAGACAGTTTATTTTTTACCATAGTCTCTTTCATTAGAGAGAGGAGACGGAGGAAACGCTGGACGGATAAAGTAAAGAAAGATGTGGCCAGGATGGAAGTCAATGAAGATACCGGACAAGAGACAGGGCGACGTGGAGGCAGTGTGTTGGTGAGGCCAAGTACCACTTAGGGTACAAATGGCCATGTGAGTAAAGTAGCCAATTGACATTATATCAAATACCATTCTTGTTGGTTGTCTCACAGGACATGCTTCCTGCAGATGATGTTGTTCGCAAACACTACAGAGTCTGATAGTTATGGCGACTCGTTCCTCCGCAGAAATCTGCAGAGCACAGTTCACCGCAGCAGCTGTAGGAACCGCAGCAGGCTCAACAATTTCTGTTTTGGTATTTGGTGTCGGTTGGTGATCATCGCTGTTTTTCATAACCTCCTCATGACTGAAAGTAGATAAAAAATTACTGTTTTTGAACAATACTTTTTGTTACAATATTATAGCTTTAACAAACGTTTTATAAAGTGACTGGCCATGTAAAATGTATTAACTGTATTCAATACAATTAAGTTATTCTACAATTATTTAACAATTAAGTTAAGGAATTCACCACTTGCTACATGATTTTATTACCCTCCAAAGTGATATAAAAGAACTATAAGACTAATAGAATAAAATAACAATTTAATACCGGAGGAAGGATTAGGCCTATCAAATTCTATAATTTACAAATGTTAAAGATAGCAGTCAATGGAGATCGGCTTTCAACAAAACACTCTGAAGAAGTATAGTCTGTCAAAACACTATTAATAAAAAATAATCTAGTTATTTAATCACATAACCAAAGCTCCTGAGGAGTGAATCAAAAGAAACATTGTTGAGTAGCTTCGCAGTCATAAAATAGAAATAAGAACTAAAACAATAAAAAATTCAAGAGGGTTGCACAATACTGAAGATTTGGAAAGCAAAACATACAGAGTTTAAACACTTAGGGATAGGCAGATCATTATTAAGGTCTTGAAGGTCAAGGGGTGGATTCAATGGGGCGTAATTACAATTGAGGAAGAACAATTATTACTAAACAAAAAATTAAGAAATATTTTGGGCTGAGAAAAGATAAATGAACCCCTCAAACACAGAATAAACACACTGAAGCAAAAAAATTCCAAATGAAGAAAATAAAATTATATACAACAATTTTTTCTAATTAATTACAATGAAATCACCTTAACTCAAACGATTTGATTTTTCTTTTCCTTAGTTTGACTAATCTTTCCTCATTGTGCACTAACTTATCTTTTGATTCGTGATCGGATTTCTTTTTCTTTTGTTTGATATTCCTACTATTATTATTATCTTCCCCTTTGTGGCATTTAATTTTAGTAGAGCTTTCATCAATTATATCATTTTCTAAAGGGGGTTTTGTGTCAACTCGGTGAATTAAATTCTGATTGTGAGCTGAATCTTCCAAAGAACGCTCATTCTTTTCCTTACTTGCTGGTTTTGGACCATAGGGTATTAATAATGTATCTGAAACAAAGAGGTTGAAATGAGAATCAACAAGAAGGCCAGTCAAGATAAAATGTAAGCCTAGGCCTACTGGGGATAATAATTGGGTTTGAAATTTAGGCCATAGGCCTATAAAGTTGGCCAACATATACATATATAGGCAGATATTATATTTAGCCTAAAACTAATCTTCAAGCATAAAATTCCCAATTTATTTTCATTTTAATCACTAAATAATTTAACCCTCTCTAATACATTTCTTATTGCATTAGCAAAAAAAATTGTATAGCATACTACATACAGATATTATTTGTATTGTATTACAGATATAATCTTCAACACGACAAACATGAGGTACATTCGGAAAGTAAGTTCTGTTTTCATTAATCTCTGCGGTAAAGCTAAGATTGCAGTCTCATGGATGCTTAGGCAGCAACTGTGAGATAAGAGAAAGACAGGCAAAATTACATCATTTTGAGCTTGCTGTTGTGTGTGTAGGACTTGTTTATAATGGCTGTGTTGGTAAGAAATCCCAACCATTGTAAAATTAGGTGGGGGATTTATTTTTAATGTTTTTTTAATTTTTAATTTTCAAAAAGTTAAACCAGTTGACATTTATTTACAAATCTGAGAGATTTTTTAGGAGTGATTTAACGGTGAGAAGATGTGTTTAACAGTTCAAAGAAAGGCGTGGGCGCAAGGCTCAATGAACTGTCGTTAATGATTTTTTTGTTCAGGCAGTTAGCGAAATGAGTCCACGGAGATATTTGCACAGGGTTTTGGGCAACAATTTAGACCTACAAGAAAAATTTGGTAAAACAACAAATAAACCTCTTGAAAATGGCCCGAACGATTTTCTAAAAAATTAGCATATTATAGTCCTTTAAATTCTGAACAAAATGGTACAAATCCCATTTCCGTAAAAATTAAAGTTCAAAAGCTATTGTAACTTATCAATTTATGTCATTTTCCCATAAAAACCCTAAAATACCTAACAAAAAAACTGATTTTTGGAGAAAACCTGTTTCTGATAAAAATTAATATTTTATGGTCCTTATAATTCTAAAGAAATAGTAGCCTACAACACACCATTGCGGTAACAATTACGGTTCAATAGTTATTGCAACTTTTGTGATTTTTTACTGTAAAATATCATATAAATTTGAAATAAAAACTTCACCAATATTTTAAGATTTTTTTTTTTAAAATAGCTGGCAAAAGGCCTCATAAAATTAAAAATTCTTAAAATATCGGTGAAATTTTTATTTCAAATTTATATTCATTCCCATATTACCAGTTCTTCTTGAAGATAAAATAGCATAAGTTATTTAACTCTCATCGCTTACTCATGATTAAGGTTGTTGACGAGCTTATGGGAGAAAGTATGTGTCAGAATGCTGATACCATTAATTTTTTTATATAATTTACATTCCGAACTTACCTGGAACACACTACGGTAACAGTTTATTTATGCCTATTTCATATTTAACTTACCTTCATTATTGCCATCTACGACTGCCTTATTGATAACAATCACAGACGAGCTGTTGTCAGTTGGCTTAGTTTCTTCAGATTGAGGTTTGATAAGAACAGACTTGTCATGGTCGAAAACATTATCTTCCACTGACACTAGACTATTTGGAGGTTGGTTTTCAATTTCTTTTTCAAAACATTTCATAATAGCAGCATGACTGCAAACAAAATAGTCATGGCTTAACTTATAGTCTAGGCTTTTAATAAACTCTTGCAATACAAATTTTTATGTTATTTGAAGGATTATTGTGTAGGCTACATCTACGTTCAAGTCACCGATTTGTAAAAACACAAGTTTTACATTTTATTTACATCTATAAACTAATTCCGTATCAAGGTGGATAGGGACTTAGAATACAATAAGATTAGGCCTTTATTACTAGGAATACTAAGGCAACTAGAACATCAGGCCCCAGTTTGTATAGGGGTTGATGTTCTGTATACCTTTGTTTTTATCTCATTTCTCGATTTCTCTCTTTACTGCATTTAATGGTTTTGGTAATGGTAATGGAACAATCGATATATCGATCGATATTTTAATTCGAATGAGTGTAGTAAAGTAAAGTGCAGCCCAGCAGCGCACTGTAAGGGTTGCCTCCATAGAATACCAAAGTAACTTACAGTACCCCAACTTGATGACCACGGCTGGAAAGCTACTAGTGGGATCAACACAAGTAGAGTATGCAAGTAAGTACCGTAAGTAACTTTCAACAACCCCTTAACTTGATACAATTCTAGTTTAGAGCTGAATCCCAGCCATGTGGTAGACTCGTAAGGTCTTTGCATACAGCTTGGCAACTACCTTAGTCATCCCTGCGGTGTTTTTGTTCAAATTGAAGACTAATGCCAAAAAGTGTTTAAAATAGGCCTAAGCCTAATAATAATTTTCAAAATTCGTCTGGAGCCCCTAAACTAAACAAACCAGTTAAACTACTAGGCTGGGTCTCAAAGTTTCAATGTAATCCTTATGGAAGCAGTATTTGACACATAAACAAAAACATATGATCAGCTGTTGACTTTTGAATGCAGTAGAAAAGAAATAGCTGATAGCATTAATCCACAGATATTAGAACAGAAACGGTATGGATCATAAATATAATCAAATGACGACACTAGCTTGAGGTCCGTGACGTAGGAAGTGGTGAAGGAAGTAGTAAAGGAGAGCAGTCTGGAGTGTGGAAACTGTTTATGACGATTAGATTTAGGTATCTGCATTCCTAAAATTTTATAGGAAGGGAGGAAAACTGGTACGCGACGTAGGAAGTGGTAAAGGAAGTAGTCAAGGCGAGCTGTCCAGAGTGTGGGGACTGTTTATAACGATTAGATAAAGGTAATATTAAAGGCATTCCTAAAATTCTATTGGAAGGGAGGAAAAGGGGTCCGCGACGTAGGAATTGGTGAAGGAAATAGTCAAGGCGAGCTGTAGGGAGTGTGGACTGTTTATGACGATTATATTAAGGTATCTGCAATCCTAAAATGCTATGGGAAGGGTGGAAAACAGGTCCGCGACGTAGGAAGTGATGAATGAAGTAGTCAGGGCGAGCTGTCCGGAGTGTGAAAACTGTTTATGACGATTAGATTAAGGTATCTACAAACTTAAAATGCTATGAGAAGGGAGAAAACAGGTCCGTGACGTAGGAAGTGGTGAAGGAAGTAGTCAAGGCGAGCTGTCCGGAGTGTGGAAACTGTTTATGACGATTAGATTAAGGTATCTACAAACTTAAAATGCTATGAGAAGGGAGAAAACAGGTCCGTGACGTAGGAAGTGGTGAAGGAAGTAGTAAAGGCGAGTTGTCTGGAGTGTTGGATCTGTTTATGACCAATAGCTTAAGGTATCTACAAACCTAAAATGCTATGGGAAGGGAGGAAAACAGGTCCGCGACGTATGAAGTGGTGAAGGAAGTAGTCAATGCGAGCTGTCCGGAGTCCTAAAATGCTATGGGAAGGGAGGAAAAGGGGTCTGCGACGTAGGAAGTGGTGAAGGAAGTAGTCAAGGCAAGCTGTCCGGAGTGTGGAAACTGTTTATGACAATTAGATAAAGGTAATATTAAAGGCATTCCTAAAATTCTATGGAATGGAGGAAAAGGGGTCCGAGACGTAGGAATTGGTGAAGGAAGTAGTAAAGGCGAGCTGTTCGGGGTATGGAATCTGTTTATGACCATTAGGTTAAGGTATTTGCAAACCTAAAATGCTATGGGAAGGGAGGAAAAGGGGTCTGCGACGTAGGAAGTGGTGAAGAAAGTAGTCAAGGCAAGCTGTCCGGAGTGTGGAAAGTGTTTATGACGATTAGATTAAGGTATCTACAAACCTAAAATGCTATGGGAAGGGAGGAAAACAGGTCCGTGACGAAGGAAGTGGTGAATGAAGTAGTAAAGGCGAGTTGTCTGGAGGGTTGGATCTGTTTATGACCAATAGATTAAGGTATCTACAAACCTAAAATGCTATGGGAAGGGAGGAAAACAGGTCCGCGACGTATGAAGTGGCGGAGGAAGTAGTCAAGGCGAGTTTTTCGGAGTGTGGCAACTGTTTATGACGATTAGTTTAAGGTATCTGTAATCCTAAAATGTTATGGAAAGGGAGGGAAACGGGTCGTGACGTAGGAAGTGGTGAAGGAAGTAGTGAAGGCGAGTTGTCCGGAGTTTGGGAACTGTTTATGACGATTAGATTAAGGTATCTGCAATCCTAAAATGCTATGGAAAGGGAGGGAAACAGGTCCGTGACGTAGGAGGTGGTGAAGGAAGCAGTAAATGTGAGCTGTCCGGAGTGAGGGAACTGTTTATGCCGATTAGATTAAGGTATATGCAATCCTAAAATGCTATGGTAAGGGAGGGAATCAGGTCGGTGAGGTAGGAAGTTGCGAAGGAAGTAGTAAAGGAAATGTTGTTCAGAGTGTGGGATATGTTTATGACCAATAGATTAAGGTATTTGCAATCCAATAATGCTAAGGGTAGGGAGGGAAACAGGTCCGAGACGTAGGAAGTGGTGAAGGAAGTAGTCAATGTGAGCTTTTCGGAGTGTGGGAACTGTTTATGACGATTAGATTAAGGTATCTACAATCTTAAAATTTTATGGGAATAGAGAGAAACAGGCCCGCGACGTAAGAAGAGGTGGAGGAAGTAGTAAGGTGAGCAGTGTGGAGTGTGGGAACTGGGAACCCTTTGTAGCAGTTATATTAACTTATCTTCAATGCTGAAATGCTATGAGAAGGGATGGAAGCATGCCCACGACATATAAAATGGTGAAAGAAGTAGTAAAGGCTAGCGGTGTGAAGTGTGGGCAATGTTTGTGGCAATTATATTAACGTATCTAAAATACTAAAATGCTATGGAAAGTGATGAAAACAGGTCCACGATGTAGGAAGTAGCTTAGGAAGTAGTAAAGTATGAGCACAATGTGAGAACCGTCTGTGGCAGTTAGATTAATGTATCTTCAATCCTAAAATGCTAAGAGAAGAGAAGGAAACAGGCCCTACGACGTAGGAAGTGGTGAAGGAAGTTTTAAAGGCTGGCAGTGGAGAGTGGGGGAACCGTTTGGGCAGTTAGATAAATGTATCTAATACCATTATATAGTCAATATACCAATATATAGTCAATTCTAATTTTTAAATGCTACGAGAAGGGAAGGAAACAGGTCTATGGCGTAGGAAATGGTGAAGGAAGTAGTAAGGCTTGCAGTGCAGAGTGTGGGAACTGCCTTTGGCAATTACATTAATGTATCTGCAATCCTAAAATGCTATGGGAAGAGAGGGAAACAGGTCCACGACGTAGGGGGTGATGAAGGAAGTAGTAAAGGTGAGCAGTGTTGAGTGTGGGAATGGATTAATGTATCTGCAATGCTAAAATGCTATGGGAAGAGACTGTAGACTGTAGGTTAAAATGATTACGAAGCACAAATCGATACATATTTCGATACATGCAATCGTTTACAATAGAAATTTACAACTGAGTTGTCAACAACTGATTTTTACTCCATAGAGGCTAAAAACGATCTTTACTCCCTAAAGAGTAAAAATGCTACTTTAGACCCGCAACGCATGCATTAAAAACGACTGTTTTTACTGCAGTATGACAAAAACAATATAGTATGAACCCCTGATGACTCCGCTCAATTTTGTGGATGCCTCTGCAAACGCCACCTAGTATTCATAAAGCCTTAAACAAACAGTACTAACCTGTTTTCGTTTGAAATCAAGTTTAGAAGACAAGATATGAATTTCTTATCTGAAATACAATTGAATCTGTATTTCATTTCATTCCATTTTTTCATATTTTCTTTGCCGATGAATATATAATCATCGTTTATGCTTTTAACCGGTCTCAAACTCTTCTTGTTGTTAGACCTAGTGCACTCAATTTTAGTTTTTCTACCTTTCTTAGACATTTCTATCTAGACCACTATAATAACAATTTACACTACAACTGGACGTTTTTCATACAAAATTTGGCTGCACACAAGAAACATATTTCAATATTAAATTATATTAAAATCCATGGGAGAAATAATAGTTTGGCCTAGTTTAGCATTGTTTGTCAAAATTATCAACATTGAGACTTCGCTAACACTAACACTAGTCGGTCTGACAGTCATACAACACAACAGACAGAGACGAGCGTCTAGGGACAGCTCCGGCTGCGTGATGTGACGTCATCCGTGACGTCAGAGTTTTCAGTCAGTTCACTCCTATAGCCTCAGGCATAAACGAATGAAACGATTTAATGAAGCGAGACTTGGGTCTTGGGTGTAGTGTATGTTGTTTCAGTCTAGTTGTTCTCGTTCTCAATCTCCTCATTTTCCTCAAGTCTCAAGTAAAGCTACAAGCCTTTACCTTTACCACCTTACCACTAAGTTACTGTGTAGAGGTTAAGTTTTTAAGGATGGTGAGGCTTTATGTGTTAATGTTGTGTTCGTTCCTCAGTTATTACGCCTATTAGGAAATTAGTAAAATGGGTGACACAGTCGTTTGCCATTTGTGCCAGCGGAAGTTTACATTAATTAAAAATTTGAGGACCCATTGCAGAAAGAAATATCCTAACAGTCCTCTACCCACATCAAAGAAACCTGAAGGTATTTCAATCACAAATTGTATATCTTGTCCTTTGTGTCTATGTGAGTCGAGATTTTTGAAACATGAAGAGTTACTCTTGCATATAACCAGTATACACGCAATTGATGTTGAGAGGCAGTCGTATGACTTTCAAGATTATGAAACTTTTCTTTTATGGAAAGAACAGGTTGAAGAACAAACAACATCCCGCTATGTAAAAACAAGAGGCATTAGAAAATGCAAGGACTCGGAAACTATCATTTTTAGCTGTTGCCGATCAGGCCATTTTAAGTCTCGGGGCAAAGGTCTTCGCCATTTGAAGACCCAAGGGACAAGAAAAATAAATTAATTAAATAACTTAGGCTACTGTTTTCCTTGTAAATAATATATGAATAAGTTAAATATATTTTTTCTTGTACATATAGGTCTAAATAAATATTGTTTAGGCATGAAATATATTCATTATTTATCCCTATTACCTGTTCAGAACATTTTGGGGGTTATGGAGTACAGTGTAGGCTATGATAGGCCTAGTTATAGACAATGGACAATTTATTCATCGTTCAGTACCTACTTAGGCTACACAATTGCAATGGATTTCGTCAAACAGAATATATAAAATAAAGGCTAATTTTTAAAATCTATATCATTTTATATGAATTTAATATTTTAAAAATCATTTATATCGTACATTGGATTGATTTTGCACCACTTTGACAGTTTGTTAGAGATTACATTTAAAGGTTAATACAAATTAAAAGGAGAATACATTATATTGGAGGTTTTTCTTGACTGGTTAGCCTGAAAATGTTTATAATTTTCAGCTATACATTTCTATTCCATACTTTGAGTACAATTTCATGTAAGTATGATAGCCTGAGTCTAATTTTGGCAAGATTATTGTAAAAGATGTTATTATATCTTCCTGGTTATCGGTGATATTTTCCATTTTCTCTTAAGTTTAAGTCACGGCCGTAACCGATATTTGACTACAATTTAGGTAGAATCTAACTCTAAAAAGGTCTTTTGTTGGCGTTGAAGTTGAAGGCCCTAGATTTCTTCATTCTTCGAACCGATCGTATGATACCATTCCATGACGTCATATCCTGCTCTGCTCAATGCTCAGTCTCAGTATAAAATTTCGCCCCCATGCGTTTATGGCTTAGGTTATAGGAGTGAACTGACTGAAAGCTCTGAGGTCACGGATGACGTCATAACTTACAGCCGGAGCTGTCCCTAGACGCTCGTCAGACAGAGTCAGCAGAGTCAGAAGCAGAAGAAAGTGACTGTGACAGACAACTACACTAACCAGTACTACCACTACTCAGTTACCACTCACAAACCTAGCCAGTAGCCACCACCACAGCCACTACCCTAGCAAGTGTTGCCACACAACTCCAGAAGAAATCCCTCCTCACAAGCATAAAAATCCCGCTTTCCCTCACCAATCCGTGCACAATACGTTTATAAAATACGTGCACAATCCGTCCACTCTCCTCTGTAAATTAACCTGAGTCTTAATAATATTATGCTGGGGAGCGAGCTGGCGTAGTGGTTAGAGCACGGGACTTCAGTCCCTGAGGTCCGGGGTTCGATCCCCGCCAACATGTGAACATACGTTTATTTTGAACGAGTTCGCAAACCAGCATGATCGGACATGGGAACGGGGTTAATGGGGGTAAAAATAGGTTTTTCCCATATTTGACTCTAAAAACATACAATTTCACAATTTCTTTCCAGATCATTTTGTATATTGAGCCGTTGTTGTATGCCAAACGGTTACGGAGATAATTTAAAAAAAAACTTTAAATTTAAATTCCAATGTTCTTCTTATGGAGAATAAATAAACTGTTGTTGTTTGCTTGTTTATGGATATAATCAAATTTGGCAATTTTGTTTATTTCATACTAAGCTATGAACATCTCAGTAAAAACTCACCTCAATACCTTCCTTGTAGCAGCAAACCTAGGTACTCATTAAAACTAATTTGATTTAAATGGGAAATAAAGCTGACAATTTTGGGTCGCCAGAATTTTATCCCCCTGGAATTTTACCCCCTGGGCAAAGCTGACGTCACTATGACGTAGTAACCTGAGTGGCCAAAAGTTTGTTCGCGGCCGGAATTTTACCCCCACGGATTTCGAAGTCTAATGAAAAAAGTCAGAGCGTGATTAATTCAATTAGCGATAAAAACCGGAATTTTACCCCCTGTCCATATAACTAGTGTTTAGACAACTGAAATGTACGGGCCGGATTTTTACCCCCCGGAATTTTACCCCCGGAATTTTACCCCCGGATTTTTACCCCCCCCCGGAATTTTACTCCCTGGCCGATTTTAGAAATTGAATGATTGGTTTTCTTATTTCTGTTTTTAATTAATTGTAAACATTTCATTATTTAGTGGCCTATCTTTATTTATTTATTTTGTAATCTCATTCAGTTGATTGTATATACGTCATATTAACCAAAAGTTGGCTTCAAAGATCGAATCCTAATACTTGAATCTCAAAATTAAAATTAAAAACATGTTCGATTAGTTAATGTCACAAATAAATTAAGATAGGCTACTTAATAATAAAATGTTAACTATTAAATTACAACAGAATGAAGATAATTAATCATTCTCACTAATTTTTATATCTAGCCAGGGGGTAAAATTCCGGGGGTAAAATTCCGGGGGGTAAAAATCCGGGCCGTACACTCTAGGTTTTTATAATTTGATGTGTTCTGGTTAAATTCACAACCGTGAAAATATATGTTTAATTCCGCGTTTAATCCATCGAGCTGATGTCGCGAAACTCAAAAGTTCGCGCCCGGAATTTTACCCCCTGGTTTGTGACGTCACGTATGCCCAGGGGGTAAAATTACAGGGGGATAAAAATCCGTTACCCCACAATTTTCAGGGAATATTTTAGTAGAAATCCAGCCAGGTAAATGGAAATTTGCTTAGTCTGCAGGTTTGCTGCGGTGGGGGTATTTCTGTTTTGTTTTTAGTTGGGTTAGCAGTGTTGCCACCAACCAACGTCTAGTCGAAAATCACTGGAACAGGGGAACGGGTAGTAAAATATCCCTCCTAGAAAACAATTAAATCTCTAGAAGTGACAAAACTGGTCGTAGGCGTAGAAGTAAAGGGAGTGAAGAGAACAATAAAAATAATGGTAATCAAAAAACACCATCGATAATTTATGAATGTACTATATTATAATCATTAGCCCTACTCATAAAGATAAAGCGCTCCTTTTGAGTCTCAAAATACGAATAAGTGTCCCGATTTACCCTTGAAATTACTGTACCAAATATTTTTAAATCTACAATTGTGTGAAATCCAAGCAAAATCCGCTCACAATCCTAATCCGCATAAAAATCCGTGCAAGTCCCCCAAATCCGCGCAAAAAGCGTAATTACGCGCAAAATGGCAACACTGTAAAAAGCCTGCAACTTAACACAGTCAATCAAGGTTTACCTAGTTGATGATGAATTTATGGAGTATGGCATATATAATAAACAAGAACAGAACTTGACCTCACAGCTACTATAAATTATATGTCATTTAGATAGGTAAATAATTATGGTTTTAATTGATTAAGAACTGTCACTCATTGTTTTCCACTACCCTCCAGTAATCACGGCCACCTTTAAAACTCCAGGCCGCGGCCTGGTAGATTTGGCAACATCGCGGTGGTGTTTAGTGCCAGGCGTCCCATAAGATAACATGGCAGACAGGTGACATCAGCTCATTAATTCGAATTTATTCATTCATAATTTTAAATTTATGAACATAATTTTGTTTAAATTTTGAAAATAAAACATGCGGAGTTGAAAACCAAAACAATGTGAATTGAAAATCTATATCTGTAAATTTAAAGTGGAGTCAATATTTTTATAGCTTAGTAACCAAGCTTTCGTAAATACACAAATACCATTAAGCTGCTTCCAAACAAAACAGCTGTTACGACCCTACTTGTGACTTTGCCACTTCGAAGGCCGCGGCCTGGGGCCCGTTTTATAATAAACTACAAGTTTCAAGTTATAACTTGTAATTTCCATTGGATTTGCATTGGACAATCAGCTGATTTACTAATAATATTAGTTTGTAGTTATTATGAAACGGGCACCAGGAGTTAAAGGTGGCCGTGATAGTAATTCTCCAGTAGTAGGCTAATAACATTGACTATATATATAGACTAAATAGTGTTATATAGTCAATGCTAATAATCGATGAACTAGAAAAAGCTAACTCGAATGCACTCCAATACTGTAGCCAGAGCCTTGGTGTTTCAACATTTCTGCTCTTTTCGTCTGGTCTCCGTTACTGATCGACTGATTATTGTGTTTTTTCGTTTTTTCCAACTTCGAACTTCAATCGTCTGCGTCCTTCCCTAACCTGCAGAGGTCGACCATCTAAATTTTAGGTCTAATAATTTGTTAAGAATTTTAATTTAATAAACATTATGGCTGCCAAAAGAATTGCTTCGTCGTCAATCAATTGGGCCGCAATCGCTGAACGTGTTCCTGCTGAACAAAAAGCCCAGTTTCTTGCTTTCAAAAGTAAATCTGACAACATTGTTCGCAAGTGAGTATGCCTAATTTTTCCAATGCATTCCTAGGCATAGCTTTCACCAATAATTCACAAGTAAAAAATACGTGCTTCAAAGAATAAAGTATAAAACATACGAATTTATATATTAATTATGTAATATAAAGGCATTAATACAAAATCATTTTTGCAAGTTGGCCGAGGCCTAGGCTAGTAATACCATAGACTAACCAACACAAGTAGACTTCTCATCCCATTGTAAATTTTGAAGCACGTTTTTTGTGTCTAGTTCATGTACGTGACACATGGGCGCTAGTGTCGACGAAACTTTGTTTCTATTATTTTAGGGTTAATTTCTTGATTTGTGCTTTACTGTTTGGTTATATAACTAGGGGACAGGTTATTGTCTATGATTAGATCGTATTATTTGGTTAAACGAGGTTTTAAATGGCTGTAATAACGGGAAACAAATTGTAAACAAAACACGACCTCTACAGAAAACCGTACAGAACTAACGATAAAATTGTCTTCAGCTGTTCCATAAGGATGAGAAATCTACTAAGGGAGTATGTTTTATCTATGGTAATACTTACTAGCCTATCAAGGCCGAAATAGGTTACTTTTCCAAGATTATACCTACCGATAGGTTAACGTTATTTTTATCCAAACTTGGTTGAGTTGTTCATTGAAATTTGTTAACTTGACTGCTAGACATAACTTTAGCGGTGTTAACACTGTTGTGGGGCCACGGCTAAAATCAGGCGTGTAGGTGAGAAATTTTCTCACTTTCTTGAGAGGCGTGGCCACGACTCGTGTAAACAGTGAAGACGTGGGAGCAACAGACGTGGCAACTCAATACGCCTGTTCCCCACGCCCTTTAGAACTAACCAAAACGTGTTTGGTTGCTACGCCTGTTGCAGGCTTGGCTAGCCGTGGTGAGGAGTCATCCGTCTCGTCGTTGTGTGAACTACGAGTTTAACTATTGTTTTTTAAAGTCAGTGGTTGTCATGTTAGTTTTTAATCAATTTATAACATTGACACAAGTCGAATGAATTGAAACGAAAACAAATCAATCTTTAAAATTAACGGAAGGTCAAACAATTCAAATACTTGAACTGTTTCAAAATGAACCTTGTTTATTTGATACAGTATAAATATTGAAAGCTACAAAAATCGAGACATGCGAGCAAAGCCATTTCTTCAATAAGTCACTGCAGCACAACCTTCAATAATTAATCTGTTGGCACAATCCATATGAACACACATTTAATGAATGAATACGCTTCTACCAGAAAACTGTTAAACTACACAGCTGCTTGTGGCCGTGGGACGGTACCGTGGGTGGCGCCACGTCATTTGCGTACGGCTGTCCATTGGCGTGGCAACCACGCCTGTTATGAACGTGGCCACACGACAGTGTAAACATCGCTATAGGCCTATCATCTTGTTACTTGGTTTCCAGTTCTAACTTATTAGGGCTCCAATAGGGTAGTTTGTAAGGTTACGATTTGTTGTTGAGTCAGTCACTACGTCATGAAGATCAGTCACACTAATGTTTGATGTCCGAAAAAAGGCTCTCAAAACAGTAAAACTCTCGGTTTAACTTATGACAAATTAAGTTAACTTAGATTAGCTCAAACCACATCAGATCAATAGCCTAACTTAGCCTAAGTTATATAGATTATAATTTGAATGGATATTTATTATTGCATTGCATTTAAATTGTCCGTTAGTTTATGATATGTATCAGATAAAGACGATAGCAAAACATTAATAATGTTGTTTCTCTTTTTATCCTAGGCTAGGTACCTAAATTTATTTGACTTAAAATGGAAGAAACTAAGTTAAGTGATATATTTTTGGGCTGCACTTTAGTTTAAGGTATGTCCTACATTTACTATTATACATATACAGTTACTACCAGCTGATTATAAAATGAAACTGTTCTAAACCTTCAAATCAAAATCAAAACCAAACTACAATATGTGAGTAGCCTAAATGTAGGACGTAAACTAAAGTGCAGCCTATTTTTGATATGCGGTAATCATAGGCCTAACTTATCAATAAGTTTTGGTTATTGTTTGTTTAGTTAACGTTCATAAAATATATTTTAGCGAATTTCCCATATAGGGAATAAGCTATTACCGTAGTAGGCTACTCATGGTAAGGCCTGGACCCGGGACCGATTTATTTTTTTGTTTTGAGGTCCCTAGAGGCCAAAAACACCATTCGTTCAAATTCATATATATATATATATATATATATATATATATTTATATATAGCCTATATATTTATATATATATGTGTCCGTTAGCACAATAACTCGAGCAAAAATGATCCGATTTTGATGAAATTTGGTACAAACGTGTAAACCTACATTTATTCGAACGAGTTCGCAAACCAGCATGATCGGATTATGGGAACCGGGGTTTATAGGGGGTTTTATGGGGTAAAAATCGGTTTTTCCCATTTTTGACCTTAAAAAACAAAAAATTTTACAATTTCTTTTCACACCATTTCGTGGAGCATAAAAAAACAAATAATTTAGTATATGGAAGCGTTATTGTGCGCCTAATGATTACGGAGAAAATTCCAAAAAACTATAAATTTAAAATCCCCATGTTATTCTTATGGAGAATAAGTAAACTGTTGTAGTTTGCTTGTTTATGAACATATTTTGATCGAATTTGGAAAATACATTAATTTCTTACTAAACTATTAACATAAAAAACCACCCTTTTACCCTCCCTGTTGCAGCAAACCTAAGTACTCGTTAAACTAATTATATTTATATCAGGGAATAAATATGATATTTTTAAGGAGGCATTTTAGTTTAAATCCTATCAGGCTAATGGAAATTCGCTTAGTCTGCAGGTTTGCTGCGGCGGGGGTATTTACTTTTGATTGAATATAAATCTGATTGAAAGTTCAGTTTCATTTAACTTAGGCTACTAAACATCAACGTAAACAGACCATAAACTTTCTCAATTCGATTTTAACATTTACTAAACAACAAGTTAAAAATGTGCCCCTAAACAGATTATTATTAAGTCGCTCAATCTGACGTTTACGTCAAGAAAAAAGTTTTAGAAGTGATAAGTACTTAGCGAACCGAATTATAACAATATATCAATATCCGAACCAATAATATATTGCAGGTTCTCTGCAGAACTGTACCCAATATTGCATTTAGTGTAGGAACACAAGGCTGTGGTTTTATGTCTTAACTTTCAAATAATATGTGTTGTGTTACTGCTTTATATTATTTATAGTTTGACTTATTGTACAAGGGCTTCAAACCATCAGAATCCTGGGTGGCACTATCCAGAAAACCCCAATTGGATGGCAATTTGAAAAGGAGGGTTTAACTTAAGTGCAAAACTCCCTTTTCGGGTTTGTGTAATTTTCCTGTTAAACCTAGTTGATAAAAAAATCTGAAAGCTTAGTAAAATAATTCAGAAAATACCTAAGTTAACAGATTATTCTTAAAATATATTTCCTGTAGAGAGATATCCATTAGGTATCCCTAAAATAAAATATGCAAATAATTAATTTTATCAAATAGAATTTCTACCACAACAACTACCTACCATCAAACAAACATTTTAATTTTTCAAATGATTGGCAATACAATATTGTTAAAACATTGACAGATATTGGAAAACAGGACCCGAAAATACGGAGACGATCATATCACACATCACTCATGCCAACATGGACTGTACATAAAAACCTCTCGCGGCCCTTTGGCCGTAGTTTTGAGACCCCCGGTTTCCCTTATGATTTCATAGTTTCAAGACATTTATTTAACCTATATTTTGTTTTTATTTTAGCAAATTTCCGATATAGGGAATTAAGTGAATTTCTCATAGGCTATAGGAAATAAGCTATTGCCGTAGGTCCCATGTTAAGACCTAGGATGGTACTTTACTTTCCTGTTAAAGGGATCATTCATTATTATTGATGATTTCTGTGACACATCTATGTTTTATTTTTCAATCAGATATAGCCTATTGATATTAACAAATTGAATCATATGAGCTGACAACTACGATACGGTACCTATAAGTATTGTTCAGTACCTACGGTATCAAACAAAATCACAACAAATATTATATTGAAATGAAACTGTTCTAAACTAACCAAACATAACTAACTAAACTTGCTGTTTGAAGTTCTTTTTTTAAAATTCCGTTTGATATTCCCCACATGCCTTTTCTGTTATCGGATGGAATTTTGAAATAGTAAGTTGAAACAGCAAGTTACGTTAGTTATGAAAAGTTTCATTTCTTAACCTGTAGGCCTATTTATAATTTTATAAGATCCGTTGTCAATTTGTAATTTAAATGCGTTTGAAGATATTAAAACATAAGGAATGGATCGTAAAGGAAAACAAAATTATAGATATCTCAATAAAAGTCATAGATAATAATGAATGTTACCTTTGACAGAAAAGTACCCCAGGGAACAATTTACTTTCACGTTTTGAGGTCCGCAGAGGCAAAAAACACCATCCGTTCAAGTTTATATAATAGGCCTAGCCTACCTATATATTTTTAAGTTCTGTACACTAATTTAGGGTCACCTTTTTCAATAATTAAAAGAAATGATTACTGTACATAAAATAGATTTTTAAAGTACTACATGGTATTATTATTTTCTTTAGGCCTAATTATATGCGTATAGTAGGCCTATGTGTCCAATGGATCGATAACTTGAGCGAAACTTGGTACATATGTGTAAACCTTCATTTTGTTTGAGCGAGTTCCCGAACCAGCATGATTGGATGATGGAAACGGGGTTTTATGGGGTTAAATTGTGTTTGTCTATTTTTGAACCTAAAAACATAAAAATTTTTCATTTTCTTTCCAAACCATGTTTGAAAACTAAAAAGCTTTAATAAACAAATAATTCAGTAAACTTAAAACTTTTTGAAAATTTTAGTTATATATTTCATATTGATAACAATTTTGTCAAAAAACACTCTACTGTATCACCATCCTTGTAGCAGCAAACCTATTTACTTTTTAAAATATTGTTATTCAAAAAGGGAATAAATCTGGCATTGTTAAAGAGATATTTTTGTGAACATACAGGCAAAATGAAGGTTCGCTTAGTCTGCAGGTTTGCAGGGGGGGGGGGTATTTTTCTGTAGCTTTGACTTGGGTAACACTTAGGCTTGGCCTGTTGGGTTTACTAAACTGAATAGAAAAACAAACTTTCATTCAGGCATAAGTGATGAACATCAACCAAACAAATCTGATATTTGAAAATAATCCTACAGTTGCAATAAAAAGACATATAATATAATATACGCAAAATTAAACAAAGAATAAATCAAGATCCTCTAAATTCTAAGTTAGCTTAACATGTGACTATATTTATTCCTTTCATTATTTTTGTTATTGTATTTGTATAGTAAACATGACAATGACATAAGTGTTGAAACTAGTCGTTTGATAATTAAACTAAATTTAAAAGGAAGGGTACTAATGTTTTCAATTGTTTATATATATGTACACATGCCGTGAATGTGATAACTAGAGTAATTTTTTTCCAATTTCAATGGAATTTGGCTTGAAGGTCTAGGGCTGGATAAACTTGAATGAGTTCGCGAACCAGCATGATTGGACTATGGGAACGGGGGGTTATAGGTCTTATGGGGTGAAAATTGGTTTTTCTCATTTTTGACCCTCAAAACACAAAATTTCCTAATTTCTCTCTAGACCTTTTTAAAGAGCTTAAAAAACTACAGTAATAATTTAGTAGGCTACCTATATCAAAGTGTTTTTGTACGGTTATTGATAATGAAGAAAATTCAAAAAATTGTAATTTAAAAAATCCCATGTTATTTTAGAGAATGTTGTAAAATGTTGTAGTTTGCTTGTTTATGGATATATTTTGATCAAACTTGGTAAATTTATTTATTTTATACTAAGCTTTTAATATTTTACTAAAAATACACTTTATTAGTTTCCTTGTAGCAGCAAACCTAGGTTAAACCTAATTTTATTTAAATAGATTTATTGTAAATCAATTCAGACAAATGGAAATTCGCTTAGTTTGCAGGTTTGCTGCGACGGGATTAATTTAAACCAGCTCACTCTGATTATAGTATTAAATTCAATTTCCATAATTCACAGAGTGGTAGCGCTGCCTGAAAACCCTCCCAAGATTGACTGGGCCTACTACAAGAGCAAGATTCCAGTTCCTGCGATGGTTGATGAGTTTCAGAAAAAATACGAATCATTCAAGATCCCTCTTCCTGAGGACAATATCACTGCTACAATCGCCACTGAAGAAAAAGCTGCTGTAAGTTTAATTTAGCATGAGAATTATTTTAATATTACCTTAGAAATTACTCTGCGAGAAGAACCCAGGAACCTAACACCAACCATTTGGGTGGTTAAGATGTGAAATTGTGTGCTGAATATCATACACTTTCTTTTTTTATGTTGATAAAACATAAACAATTTACAAAAGATTTGATAGTTGAACTAATCTGTATCCGAGAATCTAAGCACTGGTCAAGTCCCAGATATGCATATTAGCATAAATGCATTGTTAACTAGGTATATTGAGTTATTGGGCAATGCTCTCTTTTAGGGCTACTGTTTCATTAATATTTATTTATTTGATTTGATTATAGAAATAACTAACCATAGTACATTTTTTACTGAATATTTGTATAGTCAATACAAATATTTAAAAAAGGGTAATATGGTTTTTTATTTCTATAAATATGCCTATAACCTATTACATTAGTATTAGAATAGCCAAATACATTTGAGTATTTGTTTGAATTTTGTCTACAGGTAATGGAATATTTATAACATTAGATCCAAGGGATAGGCTAATAAACACAAGTAGACTTCTTATCCTATCGAAAATGTTGAAGCTCGTTTTTCTGTTGGTGACACTGATCGCTAGTGTCTACAAAATTTTGTTTCCATTATTTTAGGACTAATTGAATTATTTGTGCTTTGCTGTTTGGTTATAAAAATAGGGGATGAGTTATTGTCTGTGATTAGAACATTTTATTTGGTCAAATGAGGTTTTAAATTACTGAAATAACAAAACAACACAACCTCTACAGTGCACCAGACGGAAATAACAATAAAATTGTCTTCAGCTGATCAATTAGGATGAGAAATCTACTTAGTGTGTTAAATCTATGATTAGAGCCTACTGCTGACTGCAAGGATCAATTGTTAATCCTATTGAATATAAATTTAAAAATCGCTACCTAGTGTAATTTTCCCATTACCAAATCTTGTACAGGTTTGAATTTTCAGGCTGAAAACGTGAAGAACTTCAAAGCTGAATCGCAAAAACGTTTTACTCAACTGGAGACTGAATTGAAGAAATATGAAAACCAAATTCCGTTCATCGAGATGACAATGGAAGAGGTTGCTTACTACTATCCTGATCAGGCTATTGACACGACAAACAAACCTACTTTCTGGCCCCACGACCCTGAACTGGACGCCCGGTTGGCTGCTGAAAATGATAAGGGAGGCCATCACTAAAAAGTGGATAAATGTAGGAAAAAGAGTCATCTCCAAATTGTAGACAAAAGATTATCCATTTACCAAACACACCTCATCTATCTGCTTTGTATTATTGTTCTTGAATAAATTCTTATTTGTTGGAGCCCTTTTGTTGTTTTCTTGAAATTCTTGTAACAATATCACAATGCCTTTTTTATCTCACCAAGTGAATTTCTGAAGCTTAAGATTAATTTCACATTCTTACAATTTGCTGTGTTGAAAGCTGAACAAAAATACTTCATATAAACCAATTATTATTTGCTGCATTTATCCTACTAGTGTACATGTTGCTCGAAATCGAGCAATTGCAAAGAAGTACAGGAGTTATTTACAAACAAATTACTTGGTTAAACACTTATAACAGTCATAATTTCCAATGATTTTAAAAGAGCAAAATAGCCAACTAAAAGATTATCAACCAACGGAAATAATTACAATTTACATAACAGTCCTTTTCCATTTTAAAGGGTGAATTTTTAACAATCAAACTACCCATGGACGTGAAAAGGTAAGCTTACAATTTAAGGTCAACGTAAAAAGGCTGTCAGCTTTTATTAAGTACCGTACCTAAGTTATTTAGCCAATTTGTAGACAATAAGGTGTATGCTACTCTACAGGACAGAGTTAGGCAAAAACTGGCAGAAATCTGAAATGCTGTTATTTATCATAGGCTTAGTCATATACCAAATCCTTAAAATAAAAATTTAATAACTAACTTATATCATTAAACACAAACCAACATCCAAAACTATACACATTTTTAATACAACTTCGATAATTTACACATTGACTGTTTACAACATATCTTTTTCTTCTCACTATTAATTTTTGCTTTGCAACGGGAACGATTTGTTTCATAATTATTGAAATAGATTTATAATAATCTATCATACAGTTTAAGATTAAATAAACCTACCACATAGTTCTTTTATTTTTTCTATCAGCTGTCTAAAATTGTGAAATAGGCATTTGACAGTTCTGGTTGTTTACATTTAAATGTCAAAGCAAATGTAAACATTGTGAATTTTTTCATGCTACCATGGAGACCAAAAATATTAATATTTAATTTCTGACAACAGCTGGAGTTTCAAAACAGTTTTTGTTTCCCATGTTAATCTTATGGAGAAATACGAAACTTTAAAGGACCCCAGGGCCTCACTCTCTAATTGTTTCCCTAAAAAGAAAGTTTCCTGCACAACTTCACGTTACGCTCTTTCCAATGACACCAAAAACGTCAATCGGTTCAGTAGTTTCGGAGGAGTAATTGTCACAAAATTCCTGCTTGCGTATTAAATAAGTATAGATTCTGAATGTCTATTTCTTCTGTATTTCTATCAGATAGTACAATGCCTAGCCTAGATATCTGAAATTATTAATTCGTGGTTGTTTATTTGGGAAAATTAGCATTATTTCCATATTCTTCCTTTGCTACTCTCATAAATGTTGTTTTCGTTTATTTCAAGTCCTACATATTCAGTTTCATTATTTAACATCTCTGACAAAACCCTTAGATCATCTTCCTTTTCTGTCATCAGTACTATGTCATCTGCAAAAGCCAATATTTGTCCCTAGTTTTAGTCCTAAGGGTGAATTTCTTACTGCTTGTAGGGCTTCCTCTAGAGCAATATTGAACAAGAGGGGGATAGTCCAACCCCCTGTCTCACCCCATAAAACTCAGATGTTGTTTCTCCATCTATCTTTACTTTAAAACATGAGTTTAAAACACACATGGTTATTAATTTTATAAGCTTATCCGGTATCCCAAATTTTTCCATTTTCTCCCATATCTTTGCTCTGAATAGGCAATAATAGGCTTTCTTAAAATCTATAAATAAACAGTAACAATCCCTGTTGAATTCCCAGTATTTAGCTAAGCATAAACATTGGATTACCACTTGAAACTTGTTTGCGAGAAAGATGGACTTATCTTCTAATATATGAAATTTTCATGTCCCATTGTTTGTTGAAGAACTCCTCCAACACAGCTTCACCAATTCTTATGAAATTTTTTATGTATATTCAGGAGGTTTGAGAAGAGGAAGTAATCTATCAACAAATTCAAGAACCTTCTAAAAACATTCTTAAGTCAAGCGGCCTACTACAAAGTTGATGAAATATATGTCTAGGCCATGTACATCCCTGAAGAGGAAATGAATCCATCTAAGTTATATAAATTATTATCAAGAAATGTAAAAAAAACCTGATGACCACGAAAAAAAAAATCTATTTTCTTCAAATTTTGACCAAAGGCTCCACTGGCCTTCAAATTTACCATTGATTTGAACAATGTTCAGTTAGGTGTTAATTACCTGACAGCAAAGCCAGCGGGACGCTGATGGTCTGATTTGGGCTGTAGACTAGATCTACAAACAGTACAAACATTCAAAATTCAGTAGAAGACCCTTGAGACAAATAAATCTAACAGTATTATGTTGATGTGTGTGCAGTGGCAGCTAAAGGGGGGGGGGGCTTAGCCCCCCCAGATATGATTCACATTATTTTTGGTTAAGTTGGAAAAATTAATAGGAACCTCAAAGTATGATTTTTTGTAAACAAAATTTATTATTTTTATAGGGTGTCTAGTAGTCGGGAATCAGTATTGAATTTCAAATCGGTCTTGAAAAGTCCGGATTTAGTCTTTATTTTGGTATGAAAGTCGGGAATTTCCATGATTTTTCCGTGATCATCGCAGACGATGCCGATGACGTTTCCGTGGCTGTGTAGGCAATGATTATGTCTACACGGCCGCGGGAAATGATCATAATTTTGCCGCGATCGCGAACGGCGACGATGACGTCCGAGGCAGTTAATGATGATGTCTACTTGGTCGTGGAAGATTTTAATCATCCAAAAAATTCAAATTGGCTAGAGTTTTTTATTGCTACATTTTTTTCTTTACTTAAAAACACACCATTACATATAAATACTTTATGACATAAAGGCAGGGTTTATTGTACAATTCAAAAATTTGGTTAAATTATAAACATTGGCATTAGTATCAAGAATTGAGAATCGCTACATTTTGGTATCAATACATCACTAATTGTTGAAAAATCCAGTCTTGAAAAATTTGGCATTAGTCTTAAAAAAGTCTGGAATTAGTTTTGAATTTTTAAATGGTAATAAACTAGACACCCTAAATTTGTGGTGAAAAATAACGTCTTACCATTACTAAAAAGGTGTTGGAGCTCTCAATAGACAAAGTCAATAACTTGACTTTGTCTGTGAGAAGACCTGAATTATATGCTACAAACCAGCAATTCATTTAGGATTAGGATCCTAGGTACACAGTACACACACATTTAGGGTTTGGATAGGTCTGTTCCTTTCTTTTACCTTATGTCAGCTATTTTCCATAATGTGTAAGGGTTAAGTTCTTACATGGAATTCGTAAATTAGCCGATTACAAGGTCCTTCAAGTATGTTCACCGTGTTCACTGAATCCGTAATTCCTTTTATGTTAATTTCCATATAGCCTAAAATACGTCTTTGGAGCTTATATTTTTTCAAAAATTTTCGGGGGGAGACCCCCGGCCACCCCTCCCCACTTAGGGATATTCCATACCCCCAGACCTCCCCAGCAGCCTGGCTTAGCCCCCCCACATTTTGGGGCTTAGATCCACCTATGTGTGTGTGTGTGAATATTGTGCAATTGTGTGAATAAAAAATCACAAGAGGCACGAGTAAAAGGAAATAACTCTTGCACATAATATTCTTATTCATTCAAGAATGAAACTTTATTGAAAGTGCACTCTAATTGCTGAAATGATTCATTACAAAGTAACAATTAAACTGTTGATGTCAGTACTGAACAAATAAATTCGTCCGCTTACACATATTTGTAGATTCAGTACATCTACTGTTGACGACAAGTAGACGACGGGGTTAGATTACTGAATATGAATTATAAAACTATTTATTTGTATGTACAACGTTAAACAAGTTATTTACACATATTTTACAAAAACAAACAAGGACCTTGGTCTATGTTTCCAAAAGCCATCTGAGTTTTTACATTTATTTAGTCATCACACAGTTTATTTGGCGAGAGCAGACCTAGCAAACTGCACCACCATAGGTTTGTCCTTCAGTATGTATCCGTTGGTCTCTTTGAGAGCCAGCTGAGCTTGGTTCACACTCTGCAGAGTAATGAAAGCTTGACCTTTCATCCTTCCCTCTTGCATAAGCCTGATGTCAAACCTGAAAAACAATAACGACTCTTAGAACAGTTATTTGTAAAATTTGAGGTGTGTTACAATCATAATACTTTTCGACGTCGACTAGGCTCTCTATTTGCCATGTAACTCCTCTTTCTTATCTATTTTCAACTCGTACATGCATCTTCTTGTTCTCTTTTCTACCACTATCAAATTCATTTCCCTATGTCAACGTTTCCCATATGGGTCATCATAACCGGGACCAATTCAGGTGAGTTGTGTCAAATTGTACAGTACTTGAGTTTTGATAGCCGGGAAACAGATCCTGAAACAGTACTGTATACCGAGTTTTGCTTGCATATCTATCTGGAAACATGCACACTTAACATGCAAACCAACTGCTGTTCTGATTATAAGAATGTTTCAACTGACTACGATCCCGTCCGTAGAATGGGCACACAGCTAGTCGTTACAAAAGTTATACTAACATTCGCATTTGCATTGATTCAAGCGTTTAAACGATAACCCAAATTAACATGTTAATAATTTTTATAATCAATCGGAAGGTGATCGAAGACGAAGATAGAGCCGTCGAGTTTTGGCTAAAATTGTTGTGCTTCCTAGCCGTCCTTGTTGATCTTGACGAGATCGAACTATTTGCTACGTAGCGGCTTTTAAACACATCATAAAATCCACAACTATTCAAGGAAACCAGCGTATGGATGATATGTAAACTTTGCGTATGGTTTTCATTCAAACTAATTCATATTTTTTTTACAAAAGCTAACATTAAAAATTTAGTTTTTCTCAAGTAAGCCAATCACATTTAAAAATATCAACTAAGTAAGACACTATTATTTGCATAGCTGTATGTATTACCATGTAAACACATAAAACTTAGTTCGCAATAAAACACGTGGTTCTGTTCTTAAAACCCCACAAGATT